CTATGATTGTGTTACTGTTGATTTCCCTTTTTATGGCTGTTAGCATTTGCCTTATGTACTGAGGTGCTCCTATGTTGGGTGCATAAATATTTGCAATTGTTATATCTTCTTCTAGGATTGATCCCTTGATCATTACGTAGTGTCCTTTGTCTCTTGTAATAGTCTTTATTTTAAAGTCTATTTTGTCTGATATGAGAATTGCTACTACAGCTTTCTTTTGATTTCCATTTGCATAGAATATCTTTTTCCATCCCCTCACTTTCGGTCTGTATGTGTCCCTAGGTCTGAAGTGGGTCTCTTGTAGACAGCACATATATGGGTCTTGATTTTGTGTCCATTCAGCCAGTCTATGTCTTTTGGTTGGAACATTTCAACCATTTACATTTAAGGTAGTTATCGACATGTATGTTCCTATTACCATTTTCTTAATTGTTTTGGATTTGTTATTGTAGGTCTTTTCCTTCTCTTGTGTTTCCTGCCTAGAGAAGTTCCTTTAGCCTTTGTTGTAAAGCTGGTTTGGTGGTGCTGAATTCTCTTAGCTTTTGGTTGTTTGTAAAGCTTTTAATTCTCTGTCGAATCTGAATGAGATCCTTGCTGGGTAGAGTAATCTTGGTTGTAGGTTTTTCCCTTTTATCACTTTAAATGTGTCCTGCCACTCCCTTCTGGCTTGCAGAGTTTCTGCTGAAAGATCAGCTGTTAACCTTATGGGGGTTCCCTTGTATGTTATTTGTTGCTTTTCCCTTGCTGCTTTTAATACTTTTTCTTTGTATTTAATTTTTGATAGTTTGATTAATATGTCTTGGTGTGTTTCTCCTTGGATTTATCCTGTATGGGACTCTCTGCACTTCCTGGACTTGGCTATTTCCTTTCCCATATTAGGGAAGTTTTCAACTATAATCTCTTCAAATATTTTCTCAGTCCCTTTTTGTTTCTCCTCTTCTTCTGAGACCCCTATAATTCGAATGTTGTTGCGTTTAATGTTGTCCCAGAGGTCTCTGAGACTGTCCTCAATTCTTTTCATTCTTTTTTCTTTATTCTGCTCTGCGGTAGTTATTTCCACAATTTTACCCTCCAGGTCACTTATCCGTTCTTCTGCCTCAGTTCTTCTGCTATTGATTCCTTCCAGAGAATTTTTAATTTCATTTATTGTATCGTTCATCATTGTTTGTTTGTTCTTTAGTTCTTCTAGGTCCTTGTTAAACGTTTCTTGTATTTTCTCCATTCTATTTCCAAGATGTTGGATCATCTTCACTATCATTACTCTGAATTCTTTTTCAGGTAGACTGCCTATTTCCTCTTCATTTGTTAGGTCTGATGGGTTTTTACCTTGCTCCTTCGTCTGCTGTGTGTTTCTCTGTCTTCTCATTTTGCTTATCTTACTGTGTTTGGGGTCTCCTTTTCACAGGCTGCAGGTTCATAGTTCCCGTTGTTCTTGGTGTCTGTCCCCAGTGGCTATGGTTGGTTCAGTGGGTTGTGTAGGCTTCCTGGTGGAGGGGCCTGGTGCCTGTGTTCTGGTGGATGAGGCTGGATCTTGTCTTTCTGGTGAGCAGGACCATGTCCAGGTGTTTTTTGGGAGTGTGTTTTGGGGTGTCTGTGACCTTATTATGATTTTAGGCAGCCTCTCTGCTAATGGGTGGGGTTGTGTTCCTGTCTTGCTAGTTGTGTGACATAGGGTGTCCAGCACTGTAGCTTGCTGGTCATTGAGTGGAGCTGGGTCTTAGCATTGAGATGGAGATCTCTGGGAGAGCCTTGACTATTTGATATTACATGGGCCAGGAGGTCTCTGGTGGAGCAATGTCCTGAACTCGGCTCTCCCACCTCAGAGGCTCAGGCCTGACACCCAGCCAGAGCACCAAGACCCTGTCAGCCACACGGCTCAGAAGAAAAGGGAGAAAAAAAAAAAAAAAAAAAAGAAAGACAGACAGAAAGAAAAATAAAATAAAGTTATTAAAAAATAAAAAAGTATTAAAAAGAAAAAAATATTAAAAAAAATAGAAACAAGAGAGCAACCAAACCAAACAAACAAATCCACCAGTGATAACAAGTGCTAAAAAGTATACAAAAAAAAAAAAATGGACAGACAGAACCCTAGGACAAATGGTAAAAGCAAAGCTATACAGACAAAATCACACAAAGAAGTGTACCCGTACACACTCACAAAAAGAGAAAAAGGAGGAAAAAATATATATATATAAAATTTTAAAAAAAGAAGAGAGCAACCAAATCAATAAACAAATCTACCAATGATAATAAACTCTAAGTACTAAACTAAGATAAGCATAAAACCAGAAACAAATTAGATGCAGAAAGCAAACCCCAAGTCTACAGTTGCTCCCAAAGTCCACCTCCTCGATTTGGGATGATTCGTTGTCCAATCAGGTATTCCACAGATGCAGGGTACATCAAGTTGATTGTGGAGCTTTAATCCACTGCTCCTGAGGCTGCTGGGAGGGATTTCACTTTCTCTTCTTTGTTCTCACAGCTCCCGGGGCTCAGCTTTGGATTTGGCCCCGCCTCTGCGTGTAGGTCACCTGAGGGCATCTGTTCTGCACCCAGACAGGACGGGGTTAAAGGAGCGGCTGATTCGGGGGCTCTGGCTCACTCAGGCCGGGGGGAGGGAGAGGTACCGATGTGGGGCGGGCCTGCGGCGGCAGAGGCCTGCGTGATGTTGCCCCACCCTGAGGCGCGCTGTGCGTTCTCCCGGGGGAGTTGTCCCTGGATCCCGGGACCCTGGCAGTGGCGGGCTGCACAGGCTCCCCGGAATGGGGGTGTGGATAGTGACCTGTGCTCGCACACAGGCTTCTTGGTGGCGGCAGCAGCAGCCTGAGCGTCTCATGCCCGTCTCTGGGGTCCGCGCTGATAGCCGCGGCTCGCGCGCGTCTCTGGAGCTCATTTAGGCGGTGGTCTGAATCCCCTCTCCTCACACACCCCGAAACAATGGTCTCTTGCCCCTTCGGCAGGTCCAGACTTTTCCCTGGACTCCCTCCCGGCTATCCGTGGCGCACTAACCCCTGCAGGCTGTGTACACGCAGCCAACCCCAGTCCTCTCCCTGCGCTCCGCCCGAAGCCGGAGCCTCAGCTCCCAGCCCCGCCCGCCCCGGCGGGTGAGCAGACAAGCCTCTCGGGCTGGTGAGTACCGGTCGGCCCTGATCTTCTGTGCGGGAATCTCTCCGCTTTGACCTCTGCACCCCTGTTGCTGTGCTCCCCGCGGCTCCGAAGCTTTCCCCCTCCGCCACCCGCAGTCTCCGCCCGCGAAGGGGCTTCCTAGTGTTTGGAAACCTTTCCTCCTTCACAGCTCCCTCCCGCTGGTGCAGGTCCCATCCCTATCCTTTTGTTTCTGTTTATTCTTTTTTCTTTTGCCCTACCCAGGTACGTGGGGGGGGTTCTTGCCTTTTGGGAGGTCTGAGGTCTTCTGCCAGCGTTCAGTAGGTGTTCTGTAGGAGTTGTTCCACGTGTAGATGTATTTCTGATGTATTTGTGGGGAGGAAGGTGATCTCTGCGTCTTACTCCTCCGCCATCTTGAAGGTCCCCCACTAATCTCTTTCAAGGGTTTTAATTTCTCTTAATTTTGTAGTTTTTCGTGTAGAGGTCTTAAACGTCTTTCATTAGATTTTTTTGGTTTGTTTTTTTTTAATTTTAAGGTAAATGATATTTTTTTAAATTTCATTTCCAATTGTTTGTTATCATTTCTTTTAAACCACCTCTTTCCTGTCCTCAGGATTTTTATTTTGATCTATCTTTAAGTTGACTAGAAGTCTTTCTTGAATTTTTTTCCAGGAAAGCCGTGATAGCAAACAATTGTATTAGTTTTACCTGTCTGAAAGTGGTTTATGTGGTTCTCAGCTTATCAATAATCAATGTTGTGGTCAGACCAGCCCTTGTGGTTCTTACTGTGACTGCAAGACGCCCTTCAGGAGTAGTCATCAGGGAAAAAAGTAAAGGTTTGTTACTTACAAGACCTGGTTCTCCTGTGAGCTCCCTAAGAATAGATCCAAATTTTTCCATTTTTGTATCACAGCATCTGGCACAATGCCTTGATGCCTTCGGTCCTCAGTGCAAGATTGTTGAGTTGAACTGTATGTTGCTCTTTGAAATTGGACGGCAGCTGGGGAAGGGCACGAGGGATCTTTTCGAGGTGATGGAAATGCTCTAAAACTGCAACGTGGTGATATTTGCACACCTCTATAAAATTACTACAAGTCATTGAATCGTACACTGAGAACATGTTAATTGAGTGTTATGTAAGTATAATTTAACAATGCTGTTTTTTTAAAAAAGACAACTGACGGCAAAGATGTGCCAAAGCCACTGCTGATGCTGGAAAATGGAGCAAGGCTACAGATAGTAGGGATATATATTTTTAATGTTTTGTCTAAAGTTGATTATTGTTACCTGCAAGAGGGTTAGTCAGGTAAAAGGTTGTTGACTGTTATCAGATACGAAACTCCCAGATATTTGTTCTCTTAACATGGGAATGGTAAATACTTTTAACTGGGTTGCCAATTCCAGTCCATTGTAAATATTTGCCTGGGACACTGTGCTAAGAAGGATCATAAATCAGTGTCTGGATGCAGTGGTATAGGATGTGGTGATGGGTTATTAAAGTCGGCCAGGGATTCAGAGTTTCGCGTGCATGCCAGGTACGTGCCATCCATTATATGGCTGATGTCACCCAGCCAGCCATGCTGGGGTAGCTCAGCCACCACTGGGTGTGGGAAATGATCAAGAAAGTGGAATGGGACCTTATGTTTTGTAATGTAGGGAAGCTAGAGGGCAATGAGCTGCTCTCTCTGTGTCTGCTACTCCTCAGGACCACATATAAGAGATGGATATGAATTGAGGTGTATTAATCACTAGGGTTACCATAACGAAGGACCACAGACTGGGTGGCTTCAACAACAGTTCCAGAGGCTAGATGTCCAAAATCAAGGTGTCTGTCCCCTACCTGCCATTGTGATGAAGTCATCTGAACGTTCCTGATGTTTCTTTGTGTCTTGCAGAGGCTTTCTGAATGGAGCTTTCATGAAAGGAGGCCCAGATGGTTCCAGTGCCCGCATGATGAAGGGAGAGATCACATTTTCCCAGGTGTGGCGACACCTCATAGACCCCCTTGAGAAGGTGTTCTGTAACTACACACCCATCTCCCCTGCTGACCGTAAGCTCCGTGAGGGCCGGGCCATGTCTGCCTCACCCGTTTACCCCTTATAACACTTAACTCACAAGACTGGGCTGGAGACATTTCAGATTGTTTATTGTCTCTTTGATCCAAGCAGAGGGCCACACCCCAGTGATTAGTAAATTTCCAAGCCCTTGAAGATCTATGCCAGGGAATTACAGCAGCCAGAGTAGCTTCTTTTTTTTTCCCCCTTTAGCTGTGGTTAAATACACATCACATAAAATGTACCACCTTGATCATTTTTAAGTATACAATTCGGTAGTGTTAAGTATATTCACGCCGGGTAACCAACACCACCGTCCATCTCCAGAACTCTTTTCATCTTGCAAAATGGAAACTCTATACCCATTAAACAGCAGCTGCCCATTCCTCCTTTCCCCAACCCCTGGCAACCACTATTGAACTTTCTGCCTCTGTTTAGCTACTATACATATCTTATATAACTGGAATCATGCAATATTTGTCTTCTAGTGACTGACTTATTTTGCTTAGCATGAGGTCTTCAAGGTTCATCCATATTGTAGCATGTGTCTCAATTTCCTTCTTTTTTAAGGATGAATGATATTCCACTGTATGGATAGACTCCGTTCTGTGTATCCATTCATCTATCGATGGACATTTAGGTTACTTCCTCCTTTTGGTCACCATGTCTAATGCTGCTAGGAACATGGGTGTACAAATATCGGTTTGAAATCTTGCTTTCAGTTTTTCTGGATATATATCCAGAAGTGGGATTGCTGGATCATAGGGTGGTTTTCCATTTTTAATTTTTTGAGGAACCACCATAGTGTTTTCCATAGTGGCTGCACCATTCTACATTTTCCTCCCAGCAGTGCACAAGGTTTCCAGTGTTTCCACATCCTTGCCAACCTATTATTTTCTGTTTTCTTGATAGTAGTCATCCTTAGAGTACTTATTTTCAGACAAGGGCCACTGGGTCAGGGGAAGTTTTGTTAATTACTAACTATAAAATCGGTGGACTTTGGAATCTGATGTCAGGATTTGGGTCATAGCTCTCACTTACAGACGTGTGAGCACAGCAAGTCACAGAACCTCTCAGAGTCTCAGTTTTGCCACCTGTAAAATGAGATCGATAAGATGCTCCGTCTCCTAGGTTGTTATGAAGCTTGGAAAGTGCTTAGCACAATGCCTGGCACGTAATCAGTGCTCAATAGATAGTAGTTATTGTTGTTACTACAACCCCGATTTTTTAAAATTGAAGTGTAGTTGGAGATTAAATAAAGTAATCAGGATCTAAAACCACTTGAATTCTCAATTAGTGCCTCGGAGAAGAAAGGCTATTGAGAATCTACTCTATGAGCACACAGATAAAGCAGTCTGGTTTTTTTTTTTAATTACAGCCACCTATCAGTCTAACAGGGAACTTGGGGCCCAGCATAATAGAAAGCAAAGCCCACCTTTCCAGTGAAGACAAGCGTGGTCTTAGCGTGGGGAGTGTAGTGAATTGTGGTCACTTTAAAACTCTCTGTCTTTCACACACACACACACACACGCACACACACACACACATATTTTGGCAACTCGTGAATGAAAACTGTAGTGATACCATTGGGGATAAACATTACTGAAGTGTGAATCAATAAAAAAAAAAGCTGCAGTAATATTGTTGGAAGGTAAGGAAAGGGAGAAGTGGTATGAATTTCATTCATTTACACGTGACTATACAGTTTTCCCAACACCATTTATTGAAGAGACTGTTCTTTCCTCATCGTGTACTCTTGGCTCCTTTGTCATAAATTAATTGACACGTGGGTTTTTTTTCTGGGCTCTCTATCATTCTGCTATTGATGGGTATTTGGGTAATTTTTAGTTTGGGACTATTATATATGAGACAAGAGTGCTACTATGATAGTGTATAAGTATACCACAATCCATTCTGCTATTAATGGGTGTATTCGTTTGCTACGGCTACCATAACAAAATACCACAGACTGGGTGGCTTAAACAACAAAATTTATTTTCTCATAGCTCTGGAGGCTAGAAGCCCAAGACCAAGGTGTTGGCAGGATTGGTTTCTTCTGAGGCCTCTCTCCTTGGCTTGTAGGTGACCGACTTCTCCCTGTGTCCTCACATTCTTTCTTCTGTGTGTGTCTGTGTCCTAATCACCTGTTCTTATAAGGACACCAGTCAGATTGGATTAGGGTCCCCTGACCTCATTTTTGTCGTGGTCCGAATGCAGGTTGGAAAAGAATTTCCAGACACAAAGGCAGAATGTAAAGATGATAGAATTTATTAGAGGGAGGGGTGGCTGCCTGAACAGTGGGCCGGCTGACGTCCTAGTAGTCTGGGAGAGTCGAGCCCAAACATGTGCTTTGGATCAGTTTTTATAGCCAGAAAACAAAGGAACGGTCTGAGGTGAAAATTTCATTTACGGATTGGTCGAGGCACATATACCTTCCTTCTATAGGGTGGAGTGGGACAGGCAAGATGCCTTTCCTTATTTGGGACAGGTCCTGTTGCCCAGGTGGGCGTTGCCCAGGTGGGCTCAGGAATTTCGTAACCATCACAACACGGTGGGGGGGAGCGAGTAAGTGTCCTGTAGGGGGTGTAACGCTGCAACTTTTACAGGCAGGGTCATCCTTTGTCCTTGAAGCACCATTGTCCTTGGAGAACCACAATTTTACCTTAATGATCTCTTTAAAGACCCTTTTTCCAAAGGACAATCACATTCTGAGCTTCTGGGGGTTAGGACTTCAACATGAATTTGTAGGGGACCCAATTCAGCTCTAACAGGGGGATTTGAGTAGTTTCTAGTTTGCAGTTCTTAGGAAAAGTGCTGCTATGAACATTTTTGTACATGTCTTTTGGTGAACATATGTGGACATTTCCACTGGGGATGTGTCCAGGAGTGGAATTGCTGGATCACAGGGAATGCATGTGTTCAGATTTAGTAAATGCTGCCCAAAGCTTTTCCAAGTGGTTTCACCAATTGACAATCCCTCATCAATTCACTTTCACAGTGGATGCCATTCATGGAAGAAAACTGCAGGAAATGTTCTGAGGACTCTGGAATCTGCCTCCCTGAGAATTTCTCTATAAATCAGATCTTTGGCAAGGCGCTTGCAGCAAGAAAGGTCAACGACCCCATGCTTCAGGCAGCTCTCACTCTCAGAAAGAAGGGTAAGGATCTGATACTGGCCGTTCTCTGACCCAACCCCACCAGAACCCTTGGGAGGGTCAGGTCAAAATACATCTAAATGTGCATTGAGTTCAATGACAGGCACACTTATACTCATACGTATTAGCAATTCCTTCAGTTGATTTTCCTTGAACAGACATTTATTTAGTGGCAGAGCCCAGCTCTTCGTCACAGGCATGTTTGAGGTCGTCCTACCCACTTACCAGTAGCCTTACCTGGTTGTGTCTGAGACATCCCTGGTCCATATTTCCCACTCATATTACATGGAAAGGGTCTGTCCATTGACTTATCCTTGTCTTGTTTCCAGCATCTCCTGGTTCTTGTCCTGTCTGGTTAGGCAGGGGATAATGCTGTCTCTGTTTACATTTCTCTAGTTTTGAAATGGGAGCACTATCTCTGCCAAGGCAGGTGTTTTGAAGCGTGGTCCAGCAGAGTTTGCAGTAATGTAGACTGAGAGGAGGGTTGGAGTGGCAGTCCAAAGGTGGGATTCTGGGCCTGCCTCAGCTCTGCCTGCACTCTGCGGCTCTGGGCAGCTTATAATTTGTCTGAGCTTCCATTTTCCCGTTGGTAAAAGTGGGATGGTAAGATCTGCCCTGCCTGCCCCAAAGGTGTGAGGATCGAATGGGCTGATGAATGTCAAAACTCTGATCCAATGAGCTGACGAATATCACAACTTCTTGCTCTACGATTGCAAGAAATGAAGGGATGTAGTGTTTCCATCTGAAAGCCCTTGGTGCACACCGTTAGGGGCTCTAGCGTCTGTGCCGGGAGGGGCTTATGGGTAACGATGGTGCTTTTCTAACTTGTCAGTTTAGAAGCCAGACATCAGGAGATTGATGGAAGTGAGCAGAACCCCGCCTGGCCCCGTCTTGGGGCCCCCTGTGGGATACCCAGAGCCTCTCAGAGCAAAGTTCTATAGCTGGTCTATTCACTGGTACCTTCTCACTCAGGATTTACAACCTGCATCCTCACCAACATCTGGCTGGATGACAGCACCCAGAGAGGCAGCCTGGCCCAGACGATGTGTGAGCTCAGGCCGCACTTCGATTTCCTGATTGAGTCATGCAGGATCGGAATGGCCAAGCCTGACCCTCAGATCTACAAGTTCATGCTGGACGTCTTGAAGGCCAGCCCCAGTGAGGTACCTAGACACTGCCTTTCAGTGGAAAAGAATGTTCTAGAGGTATTGCAATCAAGAAAAATTGAGGAGGCGTGAAGAGATGAGGGACACCTGGGACCTGGCAGGGTGGTCCTATGTCCAGTGGCAGGTGCCACTTCTCCCAGGCCAGGACTTCTGAAGGGCTTTTACCCACCCCTTCAACCTAGAAAGTTCTACCGGAGGTGGGCATCTGGCTCCTCTCCGTGGCTCTTACAGGACCTTGGTTAAAACAGGTATTGTCAAAAGCTGCCAGACCAGCTGCCTCAGTTTACCTAAAAGAAACGTAGACCCTGGGAGACTTTCCCAAGACACAGGTCACCCCACCAAAGGCTGGGCAGGGATGGGCTCCAGTACTGCAGGAGGCTCCTTGTAGGGTATCCCCGCACCCCTAAATTCTGTCTTCGTGCCGTCTCTAGATTATCTAGTCTAAAATGTTGTTTTTGTTGTGTTTCCCTACTCCAATCTCCACAAAGGTCTTTGGACCAAGATGAAATTCCTTTCTCTGGCATTTCTGACCCTTTCTTGTTAACCCTGCTTCACCCACAAGCTGATCGGAGGGAAATCCTTACCTGTTCAATCCCAGAACTCTTCCCTTCTCCTCTCAAACTTTGCTTCTGCTCTTCTCAGCCCCCAGATTAAGTATTATAACAGCGCTCTAAATTTTAGTATGCATATAAATAAATGTCTTTTCACTGATGGCTTTTAGGTTGGATGAGCTGCTTAGACATCCAGGCCTGCCCTAATCCAAGATTATAAATAACTGCCCCATGCTTTCTTCTACAACTTTAAGGATTTTCTTTTTTTCTTTAAGGATCATTTCTTTTGACATTTAAATCTTTGATCTATTCAGAACTTATTTGGGGAATAAGTGAAGGAAGGACCCACTTTTTCCCCCAAACTGTTGAAATAATTAAATAATCTTTCAAATAATCTTTTTCCTCACCAATTGGGCATGACACTTTTATTAGAAACTAAATTTTCATTTGTATATGAGTCTATTCCTCGACTCTCTGTTTTATTACCTGACTTTATTATAGTTCTTTTCCAGACATTTTTTTTGGGGGTCTATTCATACATTTTCCTAGATGAATTTTAATGTCATCCTGATAAGTTTATATTCTTCTTTAATCTTTTTACAGTTTCGGAATTCAGGGAACATGTATATCTATCTGTGTGTTTATGTTTATGCTTATGTAATTAAATGTTTTTAATTTTAAGAGTAAAGAGTTACATGGAGAGAAAAAAATAATTCTTAATCTCTAATCAATCAATCTTATTGTGAGATTATTAACTCTTAACCTCAACCGCTGTTCTTACTTTAACATGTTTCTGGCCAGTGGCCCTTGTGCATGAATTTTGCTTTGGTAGAAGTGATGCTAGTATCCATGCTCTTTGCATTCAGGTGGTTTTCTTGGATGACTTCGAGGTTAATCTGAAGCCGGCCCGTGACCTGGGGATGGTTACCATCCTCGTCCGTGACACTGACACTGCCCTGAGGGAGCTGGAGAAAGTAACCGGGGTGCAGGTAACTTTCTGTCCGTGCTGAGTCAGATTTCCTGTCGCTCATCTGTGTTTAGGTACGCAAGCGACAAAACAAGTGAGGGCGTTCACTGCTCCCGGTGTGGTTCCAAGTAGGGAGCTCCTCGGTGGGAGACCGTTACCCTTAGTGCAATCAGCATGATGTCCACGAAGAACTTCCTGTTTCCCTCTCTGCAGTCAGTGAACAGGGAAAGGACACTCTGAGAGCAAGAATCTATACTGGTCAGACTCAGAGGACCAAGACTAGAGTGGGGCCTTCAAAGCCACCCATCCAGAGTAAATACTGAGAATGTAGCTGCTGGGTTTGCCCCTGGGGTGTGGAGGGGGGCCCCAGTCCTTCTCTGCTCTGCCTGGTCATGCTGCTTGCACTCAGGTGTAGTGGTTTAGCTCCACCTGGGTCACACCCTCTTGGCAGTCAGAGGAAAGGCTCCTAAGTAAACCTGTCCCGAGCCCGGGAGGCTGGGATGCCCGTAATAATGCCCCTGGGGGCTGATGGGATTAGCCCACTGTGCCAGAGCTGAGGCACCTTTTGTTCTTGTAATGTTACCTAAGATCACTGATCCCACTGAGTCTGGGAGTGACAGTTTCATAGGCTTTTGTAGGCCATGCTTTGCTCGTGTCAGTATGATGGGAAAGGAGGTGTGGGAGCCCATACACTTGATTGACGTAAAAGGTGTCACACTGTTTTTTCAAAGGGAACTATATTAGCTTCCTACGGCTGCCGGAAGGTAGCACAGACTTGGTGGCTGAGACAGCAATCTCTCTAGGAGTCTAGAAGTCTAAGAGCAAGTTGTTAAGGGTTGGTTTCTTCTGAAGGCTTCTCGCCGTGTCTTCACACGGTCTTCCCCTGTATGTGTCTCTTCTTGTAAACACACCAGTCAGATTGGATTCTGTCTCCAGTAGGTCCACTACAGGGGCCTCATTTAAGGTTCATCACCTCTTTAAAGACCTTATCTCCAAATATTAGTCACATTCTGAGGTCCTGGGGGTTAGGACTTCAGCAGACGCATTTGGAGGGCACACAGTTTTGCCCCCATAACAGGAACAGCTGACTTTTCGTCTTTAACAAATAAATTAAAACGTATATCTAATGACTCTACAACCTTAGAGCATCTCACCCAAGCTTGATTTGTCCTTCTGCAAGCCTGGAGGTCTTGTGCAGCAGAGAAGAAATCATCCAAACTTGGAATCGGAGCATCCTTTTGCCGGTTCCACTTACCAGGTTCCTCCCCTCATTACCTCTGAGCCACAGACTCCTGTCCTGTAAAATTGGGAAAGGGAGCCATTTGTCCCACCTATCTTTTCCTAAGGGATATGGGGAAGGTATAAGGAAAAATGATAATCATTTCTTTTTAAACAGAGGAGAAGCGCCTCTTGTCTCTCAGGAATGCTGTGGGAATCAGTCATGAATGGGCTTTATAAACTGGACAAACACATGGCAGAATCATTAGAGTAGGAAACCCGCACCCTCCCCACCCCTTGAACCAATGGGACATCCCCTGGTGTGTGACCTAGGAAGTCGGGGTCACATCAGATAAAGGACCCCAGGAGACGCTGGCCCTGGTGGGTGTCTGGGCTCCTTCACTGCCGTCAGAGGCATCCAGCTGCCCATCCCCACGGGCCACACCCTGGGTCCTCTCCAGACGCCACAGAGGTGGGCGCCCACCTATCTCAACCTCTGAGGATGCCCAGGCAGACTCTTCTGTGTTTCAAAGTAGGTGAATTCCATAGTCTACTCCTCCCCATTTTAGAGGGCAGAAAACTGGGTAGCGGAAGAGAATGGCTTCTTCCTTAGGTCTCACCTTTAGGACTAAAGATGAGAAGTCAAACGGTGGGCGTCACCAACATGATGCTGTTCAGAAAAGGCCCACTTATATGTGCTCAGCATCCTGTCCTTTGTCATTTCTGTCTCAAGGAAACCGACACCAATACATTACGGAAGCTTCTTAAGGATCCTTTGCTCAGGAATTTTCCTGTTTACCGAGATGGACAAAGATGGGTAACCTGACCCCCCTGGGGCTCCAGAGGACAGAACTGGGGCCGGCAGGCAGAAGGCTTTCATCAGCTGAATTGCATCCCCCCCACCAAATCCATATGCTGAAGCCCTAACCCCCAGGACCTCACAATGTGACTGTATTTGGAGATTGGATCTTTAAAGAGGTATTTAAGGTAAAATGAGGTCATAAGGATGGGCCCTAATCTATTAAGACTGGTGTCCTTATAAGAAGAGGAGATTAAGACACAGACACACACAGAGGGAAGGCCATGTGAGGATACGGGGAGAAGACGGCCGTCTACAAGTCAAGGAGAGAGGCCTCAGGAAGAACCAACCCTGCCAGCACCTCCTTGGACTTCCAGCTTCCAGAAGCGTGAGAGAACAAACGTCTGTTGCTTAAGCACCCCAGTCTGAAGCACAGTGCTGTGGCCGCCTGAGCTGACCCATACAAGGCCCGGAGAGTTCGATTTTGGCCGACTTGAAGAAGAAACCCTTCAACAGAGTCATGTAATGATGGGATGACTGCTCTGTGAACTTGGCATTCCTGGCTGTGTCCAGCATGAGCCTGGGTGACCACTTGAGGAACTGCCCTAGAGAAGAATTACATTCATTAAAGTCCAAAATCTCAGTGTTTGGGAGCAAGTGGTGTTTATTCCTCGCAGATGTGAAATTCAGTGGGTGATGGCCAGGGGCTTGCCTCACAGCCATTCTAGGACCCAGGTTGATGGAGAACCCCCGTCTTCTATTGGTGGTTTCCGAGGTCACGCTGAACACCAGATGAAAAGGCGGAAAAGAATATAGAGAATCATGTAGGGATTTTCACAGCTCTGGTGGTCAGGCCATGCTCTTCTTTTTTTTAAATTTTATTTTAATGCATTTTTTATATTCTTTACCATTATGGTTTATCACAGGATATTGAATATCATTCCCTGTGCCATACAATAGGACCTTTTTGTTTATCCATTCTAAATGTAATAGTTTGCATCCACTAACCCCAAATTCCCAATCCATTCCTCTCCCTCCCTGCCTCCCCCTTGGCAACCACAAGGTTGTTCTCTATGTCTGTGAGTGTGTTTCTGTTTTGTAGGTAGGTTCATTTGTGCCATATTTTAGATGCCACATATAAGTGATATCATACATATGGTATTTGCCTTTCTCTTTCTGACTGACTTCACTTAGTATGATCATCTCTAATTGCATAGGCCATGCTCTTTGTCGGCATCCTGTTGGCCAGAACTCAGTCACCGGACTCCACTGACCCTAGAGGAGAGGGGGCTGGGTTGGTCAGTCACCCACAGGACTCAGGAAACCATGGCCAAGGTGACCAGGGGCTGTCTTATGGAGTTTTGTGAACTCACTCTGAGGCCTTCTCGTGGAAGGAAGCGGAGCCATCTGCCTCACTGTGTCTCTCTTACTTTCAGCTCCTCCAAACTGCAGCCCCCCGACCAATCCCCTGCGATCCAAGCACCGTGAGCCATGGGTACGTGCCCATAAAGGTGAGTCAGCGCTCTCTCACCAGCAGCTGAGTCTCTCTAACCAGCCCCCTAAAACGACTTGTGAGACGTTTGTGAAATCTCAAGGGTAGCTACAAATCCATCATGTATATGGAAATGGTATTTCCCACAAGCATGATTCCTCAAAAATCAATAGCAGGGCTTCCCTGGTGGCGCAGTGGTTGAGAGTCCACCTGCCAATGCAGGGACACGGGTTTGGGCCCTGGTCTGGGAAGATCCCACACGCCACGGAGCGGCTGGGCCCGTGAGCCACAACTACTGAGCCTGCGCGTCTGGAGCTTGTGCTCCGCAACAAGACAGGCCGCGACAGTGAGAGGCCCGCGCACCACGATGAAGCGTGGCCCCCGCTCGCCACAACTAGAGAAAGCCCTCGCACAGAAACGAAGACCCAACACAGCCAAAAATAAAATAAATAAATAAAAATTTAAGAAGCTAAAAAAAAAAAAAAAATCAATAGCAGACGTGGACCAATGTGGTCAGACTCCCACGGAACAACAGGCCACGTGGGGCCTTGCTCTGTCCCCACAGCCTGCATGTCTGGCACTTTATTTCATTATTTCATCCAGCGGGTGTTATCGGCCCTTCCTTTGTGTCAGGCACGGGCCAGATAGGAGGGATGCAGGGAGGCACCAGATACAGAGAGGGAAACGGCCAGTCATTAGCCCAGGGGTCAGGGCTGCAGCAAGACCAAGGCCACGTGCAGAGGGGCCCTGACTCCTGACCCAGCCGGGATACAGAGCAGGGCTTAAAAACATCTTCTCAGGTTCACTTTGGGATCTTCCTTCATTTGTCACTGTGGCCATTTAACTAAGACAGGACCTAAAGCTACGGGTTAGCTCACAAGCAAAACAAAACTCGGCAGTTGCTTTGGAGCCGGGTGGAACCAGTTTGAATCCTGGCTTTGGCACTTACTAAGTTGGCAAATGTGGGCACATTTCTTATCATTCTGGACCCCAGTGTACACAGCTTTATAATGAGATGGCGATAATACCTCCCCTCAATGTTCTTGTAAGGATTAATTGAAACACCCCATGTTGATCATGGTGGGTAGTACCTCGTGCTTCATAAAGAAGAGAGCTGGTGTCCTGAGCTGTGCGGGTCTGGGACCTGGGGAGGACCTGCTGCCCTGGAGGAGAGCCCCATGGATGTTCAGTGAGCATTTGCTATTTGCTAGGCACAGAGAGAAATACCTAGATGAATGGAGGTCTTCTGTGACCTCAAGGATTGTATGGCCTGCATTCTGCCGAGGTAACATTCCCTGCAGTTACATCACGGGATGCGGCCCTAACGGCAGTGGCTCAAGCACTCAGAATGGGCTCTGAAGGGGGTGGAGAAAGTGACTGTAATTGCGGGGGATGAGATTCAGTGGTGAAGTGAGCATCAGAGGATGAGTGGGATTTGGATAGTGAGAAAGGGCTTTTCTGGTCAACGTGGCTGCTCTTAGAACCCTGGGTGCTCCTGGACCAGTTTCATAAGGTTTCATAAGCTCCCTTCAGACCTCGTCTCTAGTATTGATGCCGAGTAAGGGGCTCTTTGCCTGGGGCTGGAGTCTGTCTGGGCTGTGACCCTGCATCTCCAATCCTACAGACAGGGTTACTCTCATAATCCTCCTGATGCTTGCGTATCCAGCCGGTTTCAGTAGATTCCCCATTTGACCTTGAAGGAGTGTGATCAGAGCTGCCTGACCACTTCCTCTGCCCTCACCCCAAAACTAAAGGGCTGGGGCAGTAGTAGCCTCTGGGGAGCCCAGGCCCTGGGAGTGCTATTGCCTTGATGCTAATGCAACTCAAAGTGCGTTGATAATAGGTCTTTTCAGTTTTCTGGCTTAACGGCAATTTTAGAGCACACTGTTCAAAGGATGGGAAGGTGCATGCATTTGCTGAGCTACTCAGCTGAATCAAATATCTAGCAGCAAGAGCGAGCCTTCTAGTTAAGATGCATTGAGGACAGAGGCAGACTAGGATCATTTGATTGGACATCAGAACTATAACATTTTTCAGTATAAAGGAGCATAGAATTTAAAGTTCAAGTCCCTCCTTTTGCCAAGTACTAAAGGGAAGACTAGAGAACATATTCTGATTGAAAAAAAAGACTGTAGTCCAAGAAAGGGTTTGTGAAATGTCAGCCCGATGTTTTCTTGAGCGAAATGGCTTGTTGGGAATTGTGAATGAAACTTCCGGTTTGGAACGCCAGCTTGGAGTAGTGTGAGATGCAGCGAAATAGAGTTGTTCCAAGTGGATTTCTATAAAGTGAAGCTTATTTTTCTCATTTGTTTCCACTAGAAAGTTAGAGATAAAGTACCTTGGGGGAAAAATAGGGTACTTTGACTATATATTGCTTTAGTTCTTTTGCTTAGACCCCCCTGTAATAGTCAGAGTAGGCTCAGTGCTGTAACAAACAGCCCCACACTTTCAGTGGCTTGACTCCAAGTTTGTTTCTGGCTTGCAGCACAATCCCATGTGGGTTGGGAGTAGACTCTCTCCTCGCAGTCATTCAAGCACCCAGGCTCCTTCTTTCTGCAGGTTCTTCCTTCCTCAAGGCCCAGTCCATTCAGGTGCAGATAGGAAAAGAGAGGGAGAACCGGGTGCGCGGGAGGTTTACGGCCCAGATGGAGCACACATTTCTTCTGCTCATATGCCACTGGCCAGTCACACGGCCACACCCACAGCAGGAAGGTTGGGGGAGGCCTGGAAAATACCAGCAGGAGGCAAGGAGAAGAGAAGAAGGTGGATATTGGGCCCCGGCAGTCTTGGCCATACCCATGTAGCCCACAAAGGACCGGAAGTATAGCAAAGCTGGAAAAAATGTTCATATTCAAGAGATAAACAGCTTTTAATGAAATAATCATGGTATTCTGCACCTTCATGTGAATACCATGCCCTGTACAAAATCAGCCCCCAGTTTAAAATATGGAAAACATGTCAAATGACAGCAGAAACTCTGACAGGATGAGGGCCTTTTAGGGAGGAAGGCCAAGTTGTTTTGTTTTCCAACATTATGATCTTCTTTTCAGGCTCTTGTTCCAGTGAAACTGCCTGTTTTTCTTGCACAGTTTGATCACGTGTCTCTTCTCAGACATTTTCTTCTAACATTGGTGAGGTTTTAGCTGAGAAAGCTGAGTCAGGCGCGATCTGGCAACGTATTGAAATGGCCCGGGGCGATCTGCGGAAGAGGTGCCTGGTTACCCCCGGCCTGCGCTGAGGTCACTCCCCACTCACCTCTCTCTTCTACAGCCTGGGATGTGTCTGCATTTTGTGGAGCTGGGCTCTGGCCCTGCCGTATGCCTCTGCCACGGATTTCCGGAGAGCTGGTTCTCTTGGAGGTACCAGGTAAGGGAAACTGGGGGAAGTACGCCCCAGTCAGGGTGAGGGGAGAGAAGAGTCTAGATGGTGTGAGCCAGCCTGGAATATCATTAAGAAGCTGACACCTTACCGTGGAGCATCATCTCCCAAGTATGACCACGATATCTCTGAAATGTTGGGGCCGGAGACTGCTCCAGAGCTCAGATCTATGCCAGCCTATATGCCACCTTTTCAGATTAAAAAAAGCGTACTTCCTCAAGATGCTTTATGCCACCTGCTGGGAAATCTCTGTAATGAATATAGAAATCTGCAAGGTCTTTGCTGGGAAAGGTGCTCTGTCAGGTGTGGCATTAGGTGCAGGGCACAAACCCTACGACCATCCATGGCAGCCGGGTGGGCTCATTCCAGCCCCATGGTGAGGACACCAGGTAGTGCCGTGTGGCACTTTGAATTGAACCATTTACAATAACAGGGAGATAGAAGGAAGCAAAGAGGTGGCGTCAGCAAGACACTGATGAGCCCACACTGGAGAGGGTCTGAACTGTTTCTTTTCTAGATCCCTGCTCTGGCCCAGGCGGGCTTCCGGGTACTAGCGGTGGACATGAAAGGCTATGGAGAGTCATCTGCTCCTTCTGGTGGGTTAGCTGTTTTACAGCTGTCGGTGTTGGTCATGCCTTCTGATTGTCTGAGTTCTCCAACCGCACTGTCTTCCCCTGGTCCCAGGTCAGAGCAGACAGCCCTTCAAGGCGGTCTGACTTCCCCCTCCCTTCCCAGCTCCTGCAGTGTCTGTGTCTGTGCACTTTGGGCCCCAGAGGTCTCTCCTCCTCATACTCTGAATGAATTCAAGAAACCCAACGGCCTGTGCCCCAAGGGGGTCTCCTGCTAGTCATTGAGGATATAGGATGTAGGAGGTACCATCCTGCTCCAGAACTATTTTCATCTTGGAGAACTGAAACTCTGTACCCATTAAACAATAACTCCCCATTCTCCCTCCCCTCAGCCCCCAGCAAGCGCCCTTCTGCTCTCTCACTCTATAAATTTGACTAGTCTAGGTACCTCATCTAAGTGGATCATACAGTATTTATCCTTTTGTGACTGACTTACTTCACTTAGCAAAATGTCTTCAAGGTTCATCCATGTTATAGCATATGTCACAATTTCCTTCCTTTTTAAGGATGAATAATATTCCGTTGTATGTATAGACCGCGGTTTGTTTATCCATTCATCCATCGATGGATACTTGGGTTGCTACTGTGAATACTGCTGCTATGAACATGGGTGTACAAATATCTCTTTGAGTCCCTCCTGTCAGTTCTTTGGGGTATATACCCAGAAGTGGAACCGCTAGATCATATGGTAATTCATAGGCCAGATTCTTAACCCAGCGTCTACGGATCCCAGTGGGAGTCTATCCAAGGATGGGTGTCAGGGACCTGTGAACCCTTGAGAACATGTGTGGGTCTATGAGCATTTTCCTTGGGGAGGGGGGAGTCCATTGTTTTTATCAGTTTCAGAGGGATCCTCAGTCCCAAACCTTTAAGAACCCTGGGTGGAGGCAGGAATGGGAAGCAGCCAGGTGTGCAGCAGAGTCGCTGGTCCTTCCATGGTCAGTGATGCTCTTAGCAGCTTAGCAAGCCAAGCAGCAGCTCACCACCCCTTTTCTGAGCTGCTTCGGCTGCATGCACGTCAGGCCTGTTGTGTTGAGTTTGAAGCCCGCTGACGTGGGCTGGGGCTCTCAGTCACTCAGGAGGCCACCACCAGGCCACTCAGCCTGCCATGACAGAGATGTGCTTCCATGGTTGTTCCCTAAATGTCATGGTGTCGACTCAGCCGCTCCTTACTGCCTCTTGAACAATGCAGAAGCATTTTAGACAAAAGGAAGGACTTCAGTCCAAATATTCAGGAAAGACATCTAAGGTTTTTTTTTTTTTATTTCATTATTTAAATGTTTATTTTTATTTATACTGCAATCTTCCCTGAATCCCCTGGGCATTACTTAGTAATATAATTTATCATTCAAACTACAACACTATTAAAAGAGAAACTATTAATAATAACACATAAACTAAAACTGTCCTGGACAAACTGGGACTTATGGTCATACCCTAATTATGACTCTTCTTTTAAAATAAAAACATAATTTACATGTTAACTGTTGTCAAAGATTATACATAACATTAATTCTAAAGCCAAGTGCAATGATTTGGAATGCATATATGTACATTTCAGATCATTTGTATATAAATTTCAGATCATTTGGCAGTAGATTTTAAGTAACAAATTATTTTCCCTTAAAATTATGAAGACTTTGTCCTAGTACTTTCTAGCTTCCCTTGTTGCTATACAGCATTCCAGTGCCATGGTACCTTTTTTCCTTACCCTTGAGACTTTTAGGATCTTTATCTGTTGTGTTCTAAAATGTTATTATATTGTGCTATGATACGGGTCTTTTTTCATCTACTTTTCTGGGTACATTTAACTTTCAGTTCTTGGAAATTTTCTTGAATTATTTCTTTGAAAATTGTTTTCTCTGTTTTTCTTTCTTTTTCTTTTCTGGAATTGCTATTATTGGTAAAATGTCCATACTGCCCAAAGCAATCTACAGAGTCCATGCAATCCCTATCAAAATCCCAATGACATTTTTTACAAAAATAGAAAAAACAATTCTACAATTCATATGGATCCACAAAAGACTACAAATAGTCAAATCAATCTTAAGAAAGAATAAAGCTGGAGGACTCATACTTCTTGATTTCAAAATACATTACAAGGCTACAGTAATCAATACAGTATGGTATTGGTATAAAGACAGACATACACACCAATGGAATAGAGAGTCCAGAAATGAACCCTTGTGTATCTGGTCAGATAACCTTCAACAAGGGTGCCAAGGCCACTCAATGGGGAAAGGACAGTCTGTTCAACAAATAGTGTTGTAAAAACTGAATATCCATATGCAAAATAATGAAATTGTACCCTTATCTTACACCATCCACAAAAAACAACTCAAAGTGGATTATAGGCTTAAACTGAAGACCTGACACTAAAATTCCTAAATGAAAACATAGTGGAAAAGCTTCATGATGTTGGTATTAGCAATGGTTTCATGGATATGACACCAAAAGCACAGGCAACAACAACAAAAATAAACAAGCAGACTATATCAACCTAAGAATTTAATAAGATATTTTTTTTTTTTTGCCAAAGGGGCTCTTTTAGTTTTCTGGTAATTTTTAAACATGCAAATTAAGTGTATTTCTTTTATTTTTAATTGCAGAAATAGAAGAATATTCCATGGAAGTGTTATGCAACGTAAGAAGGATTTTTGGGTAACATCTGTAACTTCCTCTCCATCCTTTTGTTTTCATTGATATAAGGCAGAAGTGTGGGTGTTCATTTAAATCCTAGGAAAGCAGCATTTCACAACATTTGGGTACAAATTCTTTCTGAAAGTCGAAGTATTTTGAAATAATAGCCAACGTTGACTGTATATCAAGTACTTTTCTAAGTATTTGATGGAAGAGGAAACTGAGTCATGGGGAGGTTAAGTAATTGCCTGAGGTCAACAGCTTGTAGAGCCAGGTTTAAACCCTGCAGTAGCTCCCATGCTCCTGCTCTTAGCTACCCCACCATATCACCTTTCCCTTCTGAGAATTTTTAAAAATCACTTTCTTGTGGTAAACACATTGTTGGCCAGACCTAGGGAGTTAGTGTGTGGACTGGGGACTGCAGAGGTGTTCCTGTTCTAAGATAGGCATACGCACCATCGGGGAGAGGGACCCTCATCTTAGAGCTTGCAGGGGAAGGCCAAGGCTGAGGTGAGGAGAGACTGTCACCCAAACCTCCATCAGCCCTGGAGCAAAAGCAAAGGCTGGAGGGACCGAGAGGAAGAAACAGCCTCCCGCTTGGCCAGAAAACTGGCGATGCCAGTGATTATGCTAAAATTACAGAAAGCCTTCATCTAGGAGGGTCACATCTCTGCCTGGAGCACCCCATCAGGCCCCACATGCAGGCTTGATGTCTCATAAGGGGAGCATGGGACTTGTCCGTGCTTGGACAAATCTGAGGAGCCAGTCTGAGAACCCCAAAGTTAAAGGAATAATAAAGAAAGAAGAAAGCACAGAGATGCTATGAATAAAACTGTAGTGCTGAGGGAGTGGTTTGGACAACATCATCTGGGGGTCCTAGAAGGAGAAGGTAAAGGCGTCCCTGCATCTATTTAATTTCCCCCCATTCCTCTTTAATCACTCCTCTCACTGATGGGGGTCCCAACTCACCTCAACCGCTGTAGCTGGACCACAATTCTGCACCCTTCATCCCTTAGAGACCCTCTTAACATCAGACAGTCTGTTGGTTCCTCATCGGGAACCTCACTTAGCACATTATAGGATTTCTGGGAAACCCTCAGCTAAATTCCCCATTAGTGTGTACATTAGTCGGCTTGGGCTGACATAACAAGCCGACTAATGTACACATAACAAGCTGACATAACAAGACACCACAGACCAGGTGGTTTAAACAACAGAAATGTGTTTCTCACAGTTCCGAGATCTGGGTGCCAGCAGGGTCAGGTTCTGGTGAGCACCCTCTCCTGGCCTGCGGGTGACCACCTTCTCACTGTCTTCACATGGCAGGGAGAGAGAGCCGGCTCTCTGGGACTCTTCTTATAAGAACGCTAATCTTATCAGGTCAGGGCCGCACCCTCATGACCTCATTTAACTGTAATTCTGTAAAGACCCTGTCTTCAAATACAGTCACACTGGGGATTAGGGCTTCAACATAGGAATTTTGAGGGGACACAGACATTCAGTCCATATAACAGAGGGTTCAAAAGACCTCCTGACACCATTCAATAATTGTTCCCCTCTCTTTGGGGGGGGAAGATGAAAAGAAATGATTGAAGTGAATTACACCAATACTGTGAGCCTCCTTCTAAAAAAATATGTGTGTCATTTCACCAATGGAACCTGTCATCTGTGCTTACTTTTTTTTTCCCCTTAGTTTATTATAAAAGAGAAACATGGAAATTATTTACATGATGAAAAGAGTTCAGAACTTCAGTGGAATGGGCAGTCTCAGTGATGCCATTTCAATAGTGACTTATTTCAGTCTACGTATTTTCCAAGAATGTCACCATCTCTAAATAAGAAGTAATCCTTGTCATCTAGAACTACTTTGGTGCATCCACATTCTGGGAAGAGAACTTCATCTCCAGCTTTCATGCTAACTAGTTGAATCTCTCCAACCTTTCCTTTAGAGCCCGATCCAACGGCAACTACTGTTGCTTGCAATACTTTTCCTTGAGTTTTTTCTGGAAGCATAATGCCTCCTTTGGATACAGGTTTGACTGCACTTCTTTCAACTAATACTTGGCCAAAGAAGGGAAGAAACTTTCTAAATGCCTGTCCTGCCATGACTCCAGCCACTGCAGTTCGTACTCTGCTCTCATGCCACTGCTGCCAGGAGGGGCGTGCAGTCTGGCCCTCTGGACATATCTGTTTGTTGCCTTTTTTTTTTTTAATTAATTAATTAGTTTATTTATTTATTTTTGGCTGAGTTGGGTCTTTGTTGCTGCGTGCCAGCTTCCTCTAGTTGTGGCGAGCAGGGGCTACTCTTCGTTGCGGTGCACAGGCTTCTCATTGTGGTGGCTTCTCTTGTTGTTCTTGTCTTTCCTCTGTATGTGTCTGTGTCCAACTCTTCTGTCTTATATTGGATCAGGACCTGCCCTAATGACCCCATTTACCTTAATCACATCTTTACTTAAGATCCTATCTCCAAATAGAGTCACATTCTGAAGTACCAGGGGTTAGGGTTTGGGCTTCAGCATATGAATTTCGCAGGGCGGGGAAGGTGGGGGACACAATTCAGACTGTAACCAAGGCAAACACAGTAATTCTAACCTCGAAGCCGCTGAGGTGATGAATACAGTTCTGATTCTGTGTGTGTTTTCTTTCTTAGGACATGGTCACCTTCCTGGATAAGTTGGTAAGTAATTATTTTGAACTCATCTCTTTGGAGAATTCTGTTTGGAAGTGGGCAATTAAAGAAAAGCTGTGACCTTTGAAGGTGTCAGCTGTTAGAGCCCTGGAGGGAGCGGTATGGGAGGGGGAAGGTGGGGTGGTGGGTCGGAAGGGATTATAAAGACAGGTTTGGAGAATGTAGAGGTGAGATTGGTTTGGTTCTTGTTTCATGAAAAGCATCTTCCAGGGGATAGAATGTCTCTGTTGGCTTTAAGCCAGATGAAGAGCCTTAGTGCCAGCTGAAGAAGGTTGGGAAACATCCGATAGGCTAATACTTCCCAGCTTCTTAAAACTTCCATCCCTTTTGACATATTTAAAATCGAATGTCTTCGTTTAACATGGTTTGGAATGTCAAACTCAATGAAAACGATCAACAGTGGTCCTCCGAGAATACACTGCCGCAGAGCATACACACTCTTCTGAGACTCAGGTACATCCTCTGCCACCTTCAGTCAGGTCACGTGGCAGAAGGGAGACACCGCAGCATGGCTGAGGGGGCAGAGGGCCCAGCCAGGACAGTGACAGTACAGGGGGGCTGAGATGACGAAGGAGTTCCAGATCTACAGCAGGGCCCGGTGTAGGACGTGCGGTAACAATGTCATGTCCCATCCCCTGCAGATTCTCAGTCCTGTGGAACTGGCTTTGGAACTTTTGAGTGTGATGGGGATAGCTAAGGCCCAGTGTGGCCGCCCCACTCCTGACTTTTTCTAGAAGATTTCCAACTGGCTGGGAACGTCTCTTATTCTGATGGTTGTGAGGGAGTCTCTGTGGTTGCTGGCCAGCTGGGTCAGGTGTCCGTCCCCGGCCCAGTCATGACTAGGATATGTGGGAAGGAGACTGGGCCAACCTGGATGACCTGGGTGACCAGATGAGGTGGTCATTTGCCACCTGGAGGTGGTGCCTGAAGCCTTTGGAGGAGATGAGCTCCCCAACGACAGGCCTGAAGGCTGAGCCATGGAATAGTCCCAAGTGAGAGGTAGAGAGGGAGTCGTAGACTCAGGGAAGTAAGAAGAGTCTGGAAAGCAGAGTTTCACAGAAGCCCAGGGAAGAATGTTTCAAAGGAAATGCCTCATGCTGCTATTGACTAAAAAAAAAAGCACAACCTAAAGGTTGAGAATTGTGTTTTATTTGGTGGACAAACTGAGGACGTAAGCCCGATACAGCATCTCAGATAGCTCTGAGACCGCTTCCAGAGAGGTAAGAGAGGAGGCAGGATATATAGTAGTTTCTGCAACAAAGACTAGGTAGTCGGAACATCAAAAGATTACTCTTAATTAAAGAAAACCACGTATCTCAAGTTAAGGAATTTAGCATTTTTCTCTGTATTGGAAGGTGCAAGAGTCTGGGCTCATAGAAATCATTCCTTCGACACGCACCTCTGCTAGCTGGGGCCGGTATCCTGCTTTTCTCCATCCTGAATCCCCTCCGGGTGCCCCACTGAGGGTGGCTGCAGTGACTGAGGGCTTGGCAGTGGGCAGCCTGTTTGTCTCCATCCTGAGTTCCCTGAGGGTTCACCAGCGGGGTGACTGCAGTGGCTTGGTGGCTGCAACATCCTTTGTTTACTGATAACGCCAGGCAGCATTTTTTTCACTCACACTGCAGAACGATCGGAAGAATGAGAACCAAGAGGGGAGCAAAATTATTAGTGATTAGTAGCCTTAAAGAGAGAAGTTTCAGTGGACTTGGGCGTAGCAGGGAAGAAGCCACTGGAGGGACTTAGGAAGGTCGTTAGGGAGGCACCTGATATAAACCATTGTGAAAAGCGGGAGAACACAGGAGACGGAGTGTGGCAGAGAGCTGAGGCAAGGAACCACCTTTCCAGCTGGTGGTGGGGCCGGGGCGGATTGGAGCCCCTAAAGTGCTCAGCGGGTGGCATAGAGGAGGGAGCCCGATTTTAGGTTAGGAGACCTGGGTCTGAATGGCGGTTCCCCCATTTACCATCCGTGCAGCCTGGGCAAGTCACCCGCCCGCTGTGAGCCATCTTTTCATTTGTAAAATGTGAGTTCGAAGGTTACTGGGAGGATTCCAGATAAAGGGCCTGTGACACAGAAGATCCTGCATGAAGGGAGCTGTGGTCGTTCGTGGTTACAGCAGCAGAGGAGAGGAAGGTGCAGGGAGAAATTGGGAGGTAAAGGATGCTTTTGAGGCTTGTAGAAAAGATCCGAAAGAATGGGGAACAGAATAATAACCACTCAGTGAAAGATGAGCACGGAGGGGAGGGGCGGTGTCATTCTAACGTGAAGACAAAAGGGAGGAAAGGAGGTGAACAAAGTTTGATTTGTGGGAAGGTAGAGGGAATTCATGGCGAATGGCCTCAGTCTTCTGAGAAGATTTAAGAGGCCAGCCATTTGTGTGCAGGGTCGGCGGGGGCCCGTACGTGGCACCAGAGGCTTCAAGAGGGCGGGTGTTGGGCGTAGCTGCTGCGGTTAGGCCTAAGGGGAGCCCCAGGCCTCCGGCTCTCAGCATCCCATCTCCTGTGCCGGAAAGCTACTGACACTCAGCCCCCTTCTTTGTCCTCCTAGGGCATCGCTCAAGCTGTGTTCATTGGCCACGACTGGGGTGGCATGCTGGTGTGGAATATGGCTCTTTTCTACCCCAAGAGAGTGAGGTAATTAGGCCTCGGGCATCAAGAATTTGGGTCAGACTGGACTTGAATTCCCTAGACTCCTTCCTCAGGTCTTGAATTCCATAAAACTTCTTGAAAATAATAGGTTATTATCTGGGAAGGTGACACCGTAGCCCCTCAGCTCATTGGCGTATAAGTAGGGAGGGTTTAATGAGCTAACATCTTGGGCTCAAGGCCTGTCCCAATCACCAGTAATGCAACGAATAATTCAGGGCCTGAGTGCCAGTGGGAATGCAGGAAAATGAGGGTGGACTTTGAGGGGAGGAAGTGAGGCAGCAGGGGATGTCAGAGTCATAGAACTGAGTGGCAGGAGACACTTTAGCCCTGGTCAGAGTCAGAAAATGTGGCTTTCACTTTTACCCTGAACTGGCTACGTGACAAATCACTTCACCCGTTAGGCCCTGGTATCTTCAACCACAAAGTGGTAATGGTCACTCCTACCCGACTCTTCAACCTGCAAAATACAGTTGCAAAAAAAACAGATGTCAGGTTGGAATGATATGTCATGATCGCCATCACATCACTCATAATCATTCTCAGAATGACATTTCAGGGCACAAGTGGGAGCTTTCAGATGATGGGTTTTGAACCTGGAGAGTCAGGTGGTCTTTGTGGCCACACCCCATCTGAGCTGGTAACTGCAGTTAAAGTCTGTCTGACCTCCCATTTCAGCCTCGGATCTTAGCAAATTAATTAAAACAACATCCTTAGCAGCCATCTGTGTTTCCCTAACTAATCCAGTTACTTTTTATTTGGCTGAGTTTATAGGAATGGAAACACTGGAGAAACTTTGTTCAGCTCAACCCCAGCTCAAATGGCTGGATGATCTCAAAGACCAGAAAGAATCACACATTTCCTAAAGTATTTTTAAAGTTTTTGCACGCTGTTTTGATCTCTTTAGCTTCTCTCTCTGTCCTCTCTGTCATTCAAAAGTGAGATAAGAAAGCTCTTAAGAATCAAGTTCACCAAAAGGTTACTCTGCAGGCTGTGTTAGATGCTCCTTGAAGGGAACAAAGAGAAATAGAGCAACAACATATGGTCTCCACCTTGTTGTTGTTTTATTAAACTTAATCTAGTTCTCCTGTGAGAATTTTAAAAGATTTAACATGAACCAAGTGAGGTTTTGTGCAGAGTAACATCAGATCAGAGATGCAGGCGCGCTCTGGTTTCCCGTTCCTCTTCTCCTGTGCTGTTTCCACCCTGCCTGCTGTTGATTCTGGAGTAGTTGCTCATTCTACGTCTGCTCTCATCAAAGCAGCCCTGTTGCTTCCTTTCTGGGAGGACGGGAGGGAGCTGAGACCCTGTCGCAGGGCTGTCCAGGATGGGACCCGGCATCTCTGGGTCTGGGAGCATGTTTTATTTAAGGATATTGCTAACAGCGCAAATCTCTGCCTTTCTAGCCAGACAATGAATGAAAGAAAAGAAAAAAAAAGCCCACATTTAATGTGGAATATTTCTTTGAATCCTTGGTTTCGCCTTTCTACTGAAATAAGCTTTGGGAACCTATTTAAAATCAGGGTCTATTCACTTGTTTTATATCCTTTCTTTAACAATCACCTGGAGACGCTGCTGCCAGAAGGAGGCTGTGGTTCAGCTTTTTCTTCATCTTAATGCAGTTGGCAGCAGCATTTATATATTATCATCTCGTTTAGTGATGATTTTTTTATATATGGAATAAATGATATGTCAAAGCGATTCAAAAGAAAACCCCACTCTGTTCAGAATATTTAGTAAAAGCTAGAATTTCTTGACTTGTGATTTAAGTAATGCTTAAAATAGGTTCCCTGTGGTAGCATTAGGAACTTATAGGCATCAGTATAACTTATTTTATACCCTAACCTGCACTGTCTAATCGTGGCTATTGAACTTTTGAAATGTGGCCAGTTTGAATTGAGATTGCTATAAGTAGAAAATACCTTCCAGGTTCCAAAGACTTAGTATGAAAAAAAGAATGTAAAATATCTTATTAATAATTCTTAATATTGATTACATGTTGAAATTATTAATACTTTAGATATATTGGATTAAATATTAAATTAACATTTAAGTTAACATTAAATTTAAAATTAAGTTAATTAATATTAAATAATATTTAAAATTAATCTCACATGTTCCTTTTTACTGGTTTTAATTTGGCTACTGGAAAAATTTTAATTATATATATGGCTTGCATTATATATATATATATTTTTTTTGCATTTTATTTCTATTGGTTGGTGCTGGATAAGCCTCACCAGTCCTTCCATTGATTGTTTTATTTGCCCTAATTATACCATTGCTCCTATTTTATATATCTATATCTTTTCTGGGAACAAGTTTCCACAGGGTAAGTGTGGGATACGGAATTCTTTGCCGACCAGCCAGGCTAAATGTAGTCCTGGCTAACTTCTATCAATTCTGCCTTTGTCTGGTCTCTCAAATTCACCTTCTTTTATTCCTTTTGCTGCCATCCTCTTCCCCTCAGGATGACTAATACAGTAGTCTGCTGGCTTCTCCCCCTCTCTGCATCCACGTGATGGATCGCTGCTTGATACATCACTTCCTGACTGCAGCTTCCATCCACTCTCACCTCTTCCCAGAAGCCCTCATGGCTTTCTTGGTTTTCTGCAGCTTCAAGTCCAGACTCAGGGCTCTTGATGTTCTGGGTCCCATGAGCCTTTCTGGCTTCATTTCCCAAGATGCCCCATTAACCAATTGGACTCTGGCCCTGTAGACGCCTTGCTCCATCAAACTCAACCCCAAGCTTTGCCTCATTCTAGAACTGGCTCAGGCGACCTCATGATGTTTCCCTTGCAGGTATTGGTTCCCCTCCCTACCTCTCCCCCACATGTAAAAGTCAAGTTCAAATGCTATCTCTTCCATAACGTCTTCCATGATGCCCAAACCTAGAAATCCTTTATCTCCTTGAATTCCTGTGGTATTTTGTAGGAATTCCTATGCCTCATTTTGCAGTCTATCTCATAATATAGTCATGGGTGTATTTGACTAGCCTTCCTTATTAGACTATAATAAGCTCTCAGAGTATTGGTTTTATATTTTCTCTCCCCTAGTATGTGGCGTGGAATTACACTCAACACAGAGGAAACAGTGAGTGAAGGAAGGAAGAAATGACTGTGTTTTTACAAACTAGAGAAAGATTGTACTGTTCACGTATTCTAATCAAGGTGGATATACTGCACGTAACGTGCGTGTATCTTTGTCGAAGGCAAGTAGGTGAGAAATACTGCAGTTTAGTGGCAACACACACACACACACACACACACACACACACACACACACACACACACACACACTGGGCTGGAGAGTCAAGAAGTACGGTTTCAGGTCCCGTTCTCCCTGCACTGCTGGTGTGAGATCTTGTGTGTAGCACTCTCCCACTCTGAGCTTGGGTTTTGACACATGAGGTCCTTTCTGGTCCTTACAGACTGTCTTCTTATGGGGTCTGTGTCTTGACACCTCTTCTTTCCACAGGGCAGTGGCCAGCTTGAATACTCCCTTCATACCAGCAAATCCCAAAGTGTCCCCAATGGAGATAATCAAAGCCAATCCTGCCTTTGATTACCAGCTCTACTTCCAGAAACCAGTAAGTTTGGGGCCCTGTGAGCAATGATCCCAGCAAGGTTTTTGTTCTTCTTTTGCCTTCCTCGTTCCTTCTTCCCGTTGATCGGACTTATCTCTGTCCCCTTGAATTTCCTGTGGCTTTAATGAGAAGTGAGTTCACTGATGGGTTCAGGTGAAGCTGGCGCCAGAGCGGGGCTGGTCCTTCCCGGCTGACGGTGCATTTCTCTGTGTGTGTATTTGGGGTGATGAGGGGAGCAGCGGGGTGGGGATGGCGCATGGGGCTCCCCTGCTTCTCTGAAATTGGGAAATGGGGGCTGAACTCTGTTTTGGAGCCGCTTCTTCTCAATTCTCTGGCTGAGAGGCTGGTGAAACCCACCTCTTATTGGTGACAGCTCCTGGCCTCCTGCCAGGGATTTGATATCTCTGCTGAGGAGTGACATCTGTGATTACAGACAGTGCCAGAACCTAAAAGCCCTGCATCAGGCCCCAAGTATCCTTTGAGAGGTGTGCGAGGTTTCTAGGTGTCACTCATGTGCCACAAGCTCAAGATGCCTTTCAAAGATGCCCACTGGGGTTTGGATGATGTGTGATGGGTGCGGCTGCCACCTTTCACTGGATTCACTGAAAGCAGCAGCATCTGGCCTGGCTGCACCCCCCATAGCTGCCCTCATCTGTGGAGGGTACCTGCTCCTCTGTTCGTGGGCCCTGGACCCCGATGCCCAGCTACGTCTGGGTAATTCCAAAGAGGATAAAAGATGTTTCCTAACACTCCAAAGAGAGAAGAATAGATCGAATTAATTGACAAAGAGCACGAGAGCATCTCACCACATCTCTCATCCAGCCCTAGCCCGTCTGCTGCTCATAGGAGGTACCATTGCCAGCGAGGGTCACAGCCATCCCAGTTTTGATTTGGCGAGTAACTCTTCTCCAAGAATGATTTTAATTAGTAAGATGGTGCCTTGGAAGAGGAACTTCTTGATTCAAGCAGTAATCTGACTCATTCAGTAAGACACCAGGCGCCTCCGGCAACGTCATGACAAGATGCTTGGGTATCACACCCTCCACTGAGGCCAGAGCCCCACTGCCACAGCCCAGAGTGTGGACAGCTAAAGAGCTTCCTTTGGCTTGAATTGAATCACAGTGTCTTGAATTAGTTTGAAGTAACCTTGATTTTGAGAGATAAAGATGATTTAGATGGTACATTAGTCAGCTAGGGCTGCCATAACCAAGTGCCACAGCCTGGGGGGCTTAAACAGCAAAATGTATTATCTCACTGTTCTCGGGGCCAGAAATCCGAGATCAAGGTGTCTACACAGTTGGTTTCTTCTAAAGCGGTTCTCCTTGCTTTGTACATGGCCCTCTTCTTGCTGTGTCTTCACCATGGCATTTCCTCTGTATGTGTGTGTCCCTGTCCAGATTTCCTCTTCTTATCAGGACACCAGTCACATTGGATCAGGCCCACCCTAATTACCTCATTTTACTTTAATTACCTCTTTAAAGACCTTACCTCCAAATACAGTCACGTTCTGAGGTACTAGGAGTTAGGACTTCATAGGAATTTGGGGGAGACACAATTCAGCTTGGAACAGATGGGGACCATGAGGGTGAAGGGTGGGGACTGTGAGAAACTGACTTATTTGGAATGAGACCTGGGCTCATGGGACAGGAAGGAGGACGTGTCCTTGTGCAAGGCCCGGAAAGCAGCCCCAAGTTTGTAGTCGATGTCGGAATTAGTAAAGAGTTGTTGTAGGTTTAACGCTTATCGTAGGGGGGCCCCCATCTAATTCTTTCGGCTGGACTAGAAGTCAGCATCCCAGACCAAGGTGCGATGCACTGCCTGTCACCCTTTCCCAGGTGTTTGAATCACTCAGGTGCATCTCAGACTGGTGAGAAGCATCTGGTGGTGGGAGAGAAATGAAGTGCTGGTTCTAGGTTCTTGAGTGGCAGCTGCCTCAGCCTTTAGGGATTGGGAAGGAAACAGCCCCAAATAAAACTGTGAAGCAGGTGTTTGGGTCCCTGTCACCTCTTAGCTGACCCTTTCTCAATCTCTGGCTCTGCTTGGTCCCCAGCCCCCAAAACCCAACCCCCTCCCACTGCCCTCTGTGTGCCCAGAGGACACGACCCCGCCCAGCTGTGCCATCACCTCGAGTGCCCCATGCGTCAGAGTTGCTCTCACCTGTCTGCCTCCTCCCCTGGCCCAGCCCCCAGGCCCTGTGGATAGGTTATGACAGGCTCTTGACACTCTGGCTCCCACTGCTGTGGTGCCACACATGCAGCAGAGGGAGAGGGAGGGCGTGGGGTTGTGTGCCCGTTTCTTTCTCTTCCACCTCTTTTTTCCATTTTCTTTCTTATCTTTTTGAATTGGACATTCGTAAGAAGACTCCTAACTGCTGCAAAACAGAGGTGGCCTGCAATTGGGGGGAGGGCTGGAGCCTGACAAATCTGTTGAAATGTCAGAAATGTTTTGAGCAGTGTCAATTGTAAAGAACTGGTTCATCCAGCAAGTAGCTGTGCACGATCTATTGTGTGCCAGTTTCGGGGGACATCTAGAGATGAGTGACAACTTTTGAGGGCTTAAACAGCTCTTGGGGAGACAGGCACGTAACAGACACCCAGGGAATAAGGCAGCAGAAAGGACTGTAATGGAGGTCCAGCTTACTCTGGGGGCCCACAAGAAAACACAGTTAACTTTTAGCAAAGGAAGGAGCATTTGAACTGGACCCAGGGAGGTGAGTAGGATTTGGGTGGGGGGATCTGAGAGAGGAGGGGCTGCCAGCCTGAGGGGACGAGTGATTGAAGATGCTTATGAAACCCCTTAACTCAGGGATAAATGTCACGAGATGAGAAAGAGAGGGTAACAAAAGAGTCAGTGGTCCTTTAGGTGAACTTCAGAAGGTCTGGAACATCTGGAAACTGCCCCTGGAGTTTAATAGGCGCACGCATTTTTCCAGGAAGAGTCCCTAACTTTCATCAGAACCTTAGCAGTTCGATGAAGGCTAAGAGGTGCTGAACTGGATGGCCCTGGGCTTTCAGGTGAGGTGCAGAGTCGGGGAGGGGGCGGGCAGCAGCATCAGTGTCACCTGGGAGTTTGCTAGAAATGCAAACTCACCAGCCCCCTTTGTGATCTGCCCAATGAGAATATGCGTTTTTAACCAGGTCCCCCAGGTGACCCCCGTGCGCATAACCTCCCAGCTCTGACAGCTGTCTTCTGTGATTCTCAGTCAATTTCTGTGACCGTCTAGTCCGATGAACCTCAAATGTCAGTGTGCTTCAGAATCACCTGGAAGGCTAATTATGACATAGATCCCTGGACACCCCCTCCAGAGTTCAGATTCAGTAGGTTTTTGATGGGGCCAAAGGATTCACATTTCTTTGGTGAGGTCCTGGAGCCACACCTTGAGAACAACGACCATAGCCCCGAGGAGGGGGGTAATCCAGCCACTTCCCAGGTAGTGATGGGCGAGCAGCCGTCCTTCTCAGTGAATTAGAGACCTCTGGGCAGCTGGCTCCACTCAAGAGTGGCTGGAGGGGATGGCGCAGGGCCTTGACTATCTGGCTAAGGTTCCCTTTTAACAGTGATTCTCCGATTTTCTGATCCCAGGCCCCCTCTGCACTCTTACAAATTATTAGGGACCTCAAAGAGCTTTAGTTCACGTGGGTTATATCTACTGGTATTTACCATACGAGATATTGAAATTTAAAACTATCGATTCGTTAAAAAAGGATAATGTGCCCATGTTGATAAAAATAACATCTTTTTATTTTTTTTTTAATCTTTATTTTCTCAAAAATTTAGTGAGAAGTATAGCATTGTTTTACATTTTTCGAACCTCTTTTATGTCTGGCTTAATAGAGACAGATGGATTCTCCTACCTGCTTCTGCGTTCAGTCTGTTGGGATGTCACATGTTACTGGAGCCTCTGGAAAACTCCACCGTACGCTTATGAGAATAAAGAGGATATATAACATGTTAGTGTTGTTACAAAAGTTTTCTGTCATGGATTCCCTGAAAGGGCCTCAGGGCCGCCCAAAGGTCTCCAGACTATATACTTTGAGAATTACTGCTTTTTATTTCTTTTAGGCTGTATTAGTTATAGGAGATAGAAAAAGGGAAGTAGTGGTTTCACTATGTATTACCTTTGATCAAACTACATTTAGGGTATGTATCAACAGAATTCAGCTCATTAAAAATTATTTTTCTTTATTATTTTTTAAGTTACGGTAAAATACACATAACACAAAACATACCATCTTAACCATTTTTAAGTGTACAGTTCAGTGGCATTAAGTACATTCACATTGCTGTACAGCCATCACCCCATCCATCTCTAGAACTCTTTTCATCCTGCAGAGCTGAAACTCTATTCATTAAACACTAACGCCCCATCCTCCCCTCCCTCAGCCCCTGGCACCCACCCACCTACTTTCTGTCTCTATGAATCTGACTACTGCAGGTACCTCATATAAGTGGAATCATATAGTATTTTTTTCTTTTGTGTCTAGCTTATTTCAGTCAGCAGGACGTCCTCAGATTCATCCATGTTGGAGCCTGTATCAATTTCCTTTTTTTTTTTTTTTTAAGGCTGAATAATATCCCACTGTGTGAGTTTTTAGTTCATCCATTCTCCCCTTGATGGACACTTGGGTTGCAACTACTGCTTTTTGAGTGCCTGTTGGGCCAGGTGGTTCTGTTTGCAACAGTATGTGGCGCTCTTTCCCATCTTTTCAGCTGAGCGAGCCGAGGCTCTGGGAGCCTCACTCACTCGCCTGAGATCAGGTACGTGACTGGGTCGGGATGTTGACCTCGCCTTGTTTGACTTCAAAGCCCACACACCTCCTCTTAAGCCACACTTTGGAGGGAGTTTGGACTTTCTTTGTGTGCTCTGTGCATCGAAGCAGAGAGGGGAGGAGCAAACCAGGATAAGCTCAAGGTCTTGATGGAAGGAGGGACCTCAGGGGAAAGACGCTTACTTAATTGCAGCCCTAGTAGAGCAAGGATTTTCATTTCAAAGGTTGTTACAGTCTTTGTGGAAAAATCGGTACCTTTATTGGTCTGTGGTAGCTGTTGGCGGATGGTTTTGTTCTTAGAACAAAGCCTCTTGGCAGGGAAATGTTCGATATTCAAATTAGTCATCTGGCCACTAAGGCTCCCAGGAAGCAGTTGGGGGAATCCAGCAACTGGGGCTGGTCCGGATGGGCACCAAGCTGGGTCTTAAGGAGAAACCATGGTGGGAGGGGGGGCCGTCCCGCCTGCCTGTCTGCTCCCTCTTGGTGAGGAAACGGACTGGCCAAGTCCCTTCCTATCTATGGCCCTCAGTTTCCTCATCAGAAAAAGGATGGTCTAGTGGGATGGTTTTCACATGGATGATAGCTTTAAACGTAAGCTGAATTCAAGCCAAGGAATAAATCATAGCATAGAGCAACTCTTTGATCAGGGGTAGGCCCTGGGAGCCCCTCCTTCCCGTCCCTCCTCCCACCCCACCCCGTCTTCCCCACCACTCTCCAGCCTGGAGGCCATGTCCAGGAACACTCAGGGGTCCAGACGCCCGCCCCCAGCCCTTCCACCTGTTGCTCAAGTTTGCTGAGCACCTCAAGGTGCGGCTTAGACAAACTCCAGGTTAAGATCCAGCTCCTTGAGCTCTTTGAACTCTTGGCCAACGTTTACTCTCCTGTCCTGTGAATTTGCCGAGTCTGGTGGAAACTCAGATTAAAAGCTGTGTTTTTCTTCTCAGAGAAGGGATCATGGCCTTTGCATTTGTGTAGTAAGAAAGGGAAGAGGAGGCAGCTCTGGGCAGCAAAGACAAATAGAATCAGCTGGATAATTTCAGCACCACCTGCTCCATTTTTTGCCGTTCGCGGGCCTCTCACTGTTGTGGCCTCCCCTGTTGCGGAGCACAGGCTCCGGATGCGCAGGCTCAGCGGCCATGGCTCAGGTGGGATCTTCCCGGACCGGGGCACGAACCCGCGTCCCCTGCATCGGCAGGCATACTCTCAACCACTGCACCACCAGGGAAGCTCCAAGGTTGGTTTCTTATATTTCAAATCCTTCATGAGCTCTGTGTTGACTCTTAGGAAGTCTTTCTCCTTAAACAGCCCCAGAGTCTTCTGAGACAAAGCTCCAGGATTCATGGACTTCCAAAGGCTTTGTTCTAGGAGTTTTTCCTTAGAACCTAGAGCTGCCTGCCCAGGTGATAGCTTTGGGGTAATAGTAGAGCAGACTCGTTCATTTTTTTTTTAACTTTTTATTTTATATTGGCGTATAGCCAATTAACAATGTTGTGATAGCTTCAGGTGCACAGCAAAGCGACTCAGCCATACAGATACGTGTATCTGTTCTCCCCCAGACTCCCCTCCCATCCAGGCTGCCACATAACATTGAGCAGAGTTCTGTAGGCTTACTGCTCCCCTCCACCTCAAGCTGGAGGAGAATTACCTTTGCGACAAAAAACTTAATCCATCGATCTAAGACAGAAATGGAAAATTTTGTTCAAGCCGAATTGAGGGCTATATAACCCGGTTCTGAGAGCTGTTCTGCCTGTTCGAGGTCAAAACGCAGTTACGTGTTTTGCGACAGAGGGCTGTGTATTAAATGATGTATTATTGACAGTTTACACAATCTAGCAAGTAGTGGGTCATGGCTCATCGTGGCCCCTTACGACATCAGGAAGGAATGTTATCTTTTAAGGAGTTGTCTTGTTGATGGTGGGAGAATATTGCTCTTTATGGTTGAGCAGGTATTTCTACTGATGGGGGAGGTTTGGTCAATGCATAATGCAGGTACGCAATGCGCAGTGGAGGGGAGAAAGGAGGCCAAAGGGCAGAGAAGATTTTTTTTATGTTTAAATTTTTCTTGTCCTGCCATAAAATATGGATTTTATTTCACACCCTCTTTGATGAATGTGAGCTTGCAATGGAGGGCAAGAAAATAAAAGCCACAATCCACGTGATCATTTAGAAGTCACCCCCACCAAAGTCTTTATCTCACATTCTTTCCTTTTTTCCCCTCTCTTCTTCCCAACCTTCTAGGCTGTGTTGGGTACCTGCTATTACCGTGCTATCACAGTGGGAATAAAAATATGAGTAAGATACAGTGTGTGCCCCTAAGAAATTCACAGGCTTGTGAGGGGACCGGATCCAAAAATAGACAGTTCTCATGCAACTAGATAACTTTAACGATGGAGATAATAATAATAACAATAATCACCATTTATTGGCCTCCCTCCTATGTATCTACCAGGCATGGTCAGAAACAGGCATTATCTCCTATCATCCTTACAAAACTCCCATTTTATAGATGAGGAAACTGAGGCTCTGGAAGATTAAGTTAATAAGTTAATTAGTAGTAATTAATAAGTAGTTAATAAGTTAATAAGTAGTTAATAAGTAGTAGTGGTGGGGCTTGGAGACTTGTTTGTTGGATTCCAAAGTTCATCCTTTAATTCCTATGATCAGGAGCACAAAGGGAGGAGCCCTATCCAGCTGGACTGGTGGGAGGCTTGTCATTGGTCTGTGGGACTTAAAAATAGGGTATCACCTTTTATGAATTACAGAGCGACCGATGGTATCGGCAGGGCACACAACCAGAGTACAAATGCTCTTATCTTCTCCCCTTTCTGGCCCTCACCTTTGTCCTCTTCATCCCTGTTGATCTGACATGCTTTCACGTGGGTAGAGAGACTTATTTACCTTTGGGCTCTCTTTGATTTTTTATTGACCCTTTTGACATTCATTTGCTCTTTTAAGTGCTATTTGAGCTCTGCAGCCAGTCCAGACCTCTGGACTCGTGGAGATTCCTCCACACACTGAGACACATCACAAGCTCATGAACAGCAGCTAGGGACTGCTCTCAATAAATAAGAATGATGACCCGTGGCAACATGCAGGGCGTTTATTGAGCGCGTAAAATATACTGCCTTCCATGGCTATTTCTCGCCTCGACATTCATCACGTAACTGAAGGCCACGATTGATTCTCCGTCATAATGGAATCTTACACATGTGAGGGGATTGTAATTAACATGCCAGCATTGTTTTCTTCAGAAAATCTCGAACTGCAGATCCAGCACTGCTTGATGATAAATGTTTCCTTGCCTGCAGAGCTGCTGTCTCGTAGATCCAGAGCTCTCATGACGTGCCATATGCAGAACAAATGAGTGCAGGACCTCTTAAAGTGTGCAGGGTCTGAGGGCCGCTGGCCACCAGAACACTTTGCTGACCTGGCTTACAGGACCCTTCTCTGCGGGAACATTCCTCGGAGGAAAGGAACAAACATACATTCAGCCTCTGCTCCATCCAGGACCAGTCACAGATGCCCTGGGGAAGAAGATGAGTAGGAGCTTGCCTGCTCTCAGGGTGGACCATGGAGAGGACATGAAAGGCTCTGTGAGATCCAGGAAGAGCTGAGCTGTTTTACTGTGATGGGGGAGGGTAGGGCTTCATGGAGAAGGCAGTGTTTGGCACAGGTGTTGAAGGCTTCTTGAAGGCCAAGCTGAGGGAAGTAGGTGCTCTTGGTGGAAGTTACAATACGTTAAACCACAGAGCTGAGAAAGTAGGGCGCCCTTCAGAAAACATCCTGCAACTCAGTTTAGCTGGTTCAGGTGAGCAGTTGGAAAGGAGGAGAAGAAAGTAGGCCAGCACTGTGCTCTAGATTGAGTGTTTGTGAGTCCCCCAAATTCGTGTGTTGAAATCCTAACCCTGATGTGATGGTATTAGGACGTGGGCCCTCGAGGAGATGATTAGTTCTTGAGGGTGGAGCCCTCATGAATGGGATTAGTGCCCTTTAGAAGAAACTCCAGAGAGCTCTCTTGTGCTTTCCTCCATGTGAGGACACAGTGAGAAGATGACCATCTATGAACCAAGAAACAAACTGTCACTAGATACTGAATCTGCTGATGCCTTGATCTTGGACTGCCCAGCCTACAGAACTGTGAGAAATAAATGTCTGAGTTTATAAGCCACCCGATCTATGGTATTGTGTTATAGCAGCCAGAATGGACCACCATACACTGCCATACTCTTATTATTATAGGCTCCCCAGCCTATAATAATAAAGTGATTATTATAAGTAATACATTCCCACTGTAGGGATTTAGATAAACAGAAAAGAAAGCAGCAGCCATAAACCCACCTCCCCGGTGTGGGGCGGGGTGGACGGGACCACTGTGAGCATCTCATATTTTATTCAAACCTTTTAAAAAAAACAAAACATGTTTCAATATGAAAATTCAAATTCATGCACTTCTAATGAAACTTGGGCTGGATGGGACAGAGATTGGGAGCTTCTGGCTTTGGGTCAGATCAGTTTCCAAGGTCTCTGCTGAGTCCTTCATTTTGCTTTCTTGGTTGTTCTAGGGAGTGGCGGAGGTTGAACTGGAACAGAACCTGAATCGGACTTTCAGAAGCTTCTTCAGAGCAAGTGATGAGGTGAGGGGTGTGGGAGGCAGGGTCGGGGGTAAGCAGGAAGGGGGAGCTGCAGGGGTGCAGATCCCCAGATGGCTTCCCTGGGAGGATGGGGGGATAGGGGATGTCAGGGTGTGGGAATAAGCAACTTGCCTTCTTTTCTTTGACTTCTGTAGTTAGGGCAGTTAGGGTCCTCACTCCACTGGTCCCTTCATTAATGAGGAAAGGTCCTGTCCTCTCTGTCACACACCAGTAGGGCTATGAAACCCAGATCAAAGAAGGATTATAATGGTGACAGTTTAGAAATTCTGCTGTTATTACCATTTTCATATGGATAATTGCTTATCAAAGTGCAGAATTAATTGATGCTTCTAACCCTTTTCTTGAACAACCACTGGAGCCTAGAATGCTTTAACGCGGTAACCCCACCCTCCTGTCTTATGTGTTAGGAGTCACTGTTGCTGTTGCTGTATCTGGTCAGTGCCTACTTAGCTGGCCTGATTTTTGCCAGTTTCTTTGCTGACCACTTCTGGCACCTCACTCTTTTATACTAAGTGCAAATTTCTTTCTTACTGAAGTACCTTCTTTTGCAGTTTTCTCAGTAAGAGTCTGTTAGCAGTAAACTCATAATTTTTTGGCCTGAAAATATCTTTATTTTGCTTTCAATCCCAAAGAACAGTTTATCTGAGTATAGCATTCTAGGTTGACAATTATTTTCTTCTAGAAGCTTCTGTCATTGCTTGTAAGAAATTGGTCTCAGGTCTACCTTCTGGTGTATTATTTGTCTTTTAGTCATGTCTCATCTGGAGTTCAGCCCATCTTTAATTTTGAAAGTTGCATTTGGTTCTTTTTCAAAGCCTTCTGATCTCTTTCAATAGAGTCTTGTTCTATTCTTGTTGTTCAGTTCCTTCTTTGGTCTTTAATCATTTGAAGCATACTCATTTTTCATTCTCTCTCTGTGCAAGTTCTATTATTTGGTCTTCCTGGAGAGTCTTGTTTTACTGTTTGCTGTGTTTGCTGTCTCCTGCAATGGGGCTTTAGTGCATATGTGCAGGGGGTGGGGCAGGGTAGGGAGAGAGCTCTGTAATTTGGGTTTGTGAGCTCATCTTTAACAGAGCTTACTCTGCTCCAACCTGCTCCAGCTGAGATGGAGGAAATGGCCCTCCTGGGTGGTTTAGCTTTTGCTTCTCCTGCCAGGCCTTCTGGTGGCATTACCAGCCCAAGCTCACTTTTGCTGTTGTTGTTTACTTCACTTAGTGGGGGTTTCCAGATCTCGTAGTGTGGATTCAAACAGAAACACGTGTGAAGGCAGGCTTGTGGCCATGAATCCCTAGGGGAGCTTTTTTTTGGTTTCCTCTTAGTACCAAACTGAATGGACCAACTCCTTTGACATCCCTCTGTCATGGTGGGTGGGTTCTTTCTAGTCCACCCTTTAACTGAGGACCCCAGATTGAGTGGATTCACCGTGGAGGGGTGGGGAGGATCTCACTTTTACCTTCGTATCTGACCTGAGGTCTCATCACCTGTTCCCACTGGTTGATACACCCAAGTCCTTACATTCCCAAGACCCGCCAGCACCCAGGAGCAGTCTTGGCCTTGGAGCTTGGTTGTGAGCTGCCTCTGCTCTGACCACTCAGGACCCGCCTAGCTCTCTTGGGCATTTAGCATGTGTGTATAGGCTGCTGGCACTTGTAGGGTTTTTAGATGCCCCGTTCCTACATGTTTCCTTTGCTTGACCCATGACATCCCTTCTAACTTTTCTCCCTCCAGACTTTTCTCACCACGAACAGAGTCTGTGAAATGGGTAAGAGACATTCTCAGGAGGGAATGGAGACAGGAGGGCCATGACGGGAACCAGCCGAACGTTAAATGAGTGTTTCTCCATCTGCCAGCTGTGGGCAGAAGCAGCCACCTGCCAGCCCTGAACTAGTTAAGCCCTGACTTGCTTAACGTAGATCCCCGCCGGGGAATCGCACTCACCCTAACCCTGGGCTGACCACACAGCCTTGGCTTCCTCTCCCCCATGAAGTTTTGGATTCAAGATCTTAAACAGTCAGAGCCTGGAGGACTCTCAGAGCTCTTCAGGGCAGATCCACCCTCTACTGATTGGGACAGAGACCCAGGAGAGGAACTGACCTCTGCAGGGTCACCTGGTGCAGGCAGAGTGGAAATCAGGCCAGACCCCCAGCCAGGTCTCCTCTGTCTTAGTGCCCTGGCCTCCCCTCCATCAGGCTCAGTTCCATCCCGTGAAGACAGCCCCTGTTCTCCCTCCCAGTTTGGATATAAGTGAGGAGCCAGAGCCAGGAGCAGACTGGCGCTCATCCCCTTGACTCCTGGATCCGGCACTGTTCCCACAGAACCTTGCTTGACCCCAAGCCTGTGACTTTGCCATCATTCCCTTGTGTTTTTATTAATACTGATGATTGCTATCACTTGTTTGAGCACCTACTGTGTGCATCATACACTGGGTTAGCCCCCTTTAGTAATATTGTTTATATTTCTCGTGACATCCGTAAGAACTCTCACTATTATCTCTATTCTACAGATGAGGAAAATGGGTCTCAGAATTTGTCCAGAGTGGCCAGGCTGGGGTTAAACTCCTCCAAGCCTAAAGACCACACTCTTCTCACTGGTCAGGAACACCTTTCCCTTCCCTCCTTCCACCTCTTTACTTATTCACGTAGTCAATCGTTCAGTCCTTCATTCCTCAAAAGTTTTGAGCACACACTTGGTGTGAGGCAGGGGCAGGTATCCACAAGCACGAGTCAGAGTCATTGCCCTCCGGGAGCCCAAGTCTCTTGGGGAGACAGAGAGCAGTAATAAAAGAAGCAGAGGTGGTGAAGGGTCTCAGGTGTTGGAACTTGGACACCTGACCCAGAGGGTGGGAGAGGAAACAAGTGGCTTTTTGTAGGAGGACTCTTTGTGAGTACGCCAGGGGAGCCCAGCCTCAGCAAGATGGTCACCGAGGAGGACATCCAGTTCTACGTTCAGCAGTTCAAGAAGTCTGGTTTCAGGTAAAGAGAACAGCACCCCAGGAGAACACAGGAGAGAGAAGGTGGGCAGACAGGGGCCCTTCTGCTCTCACAGTGCAGGGTGAGGCCCAGTGCCAGCTCAGTCCCAGTGAAAGCCTGGCCAGCCTCTGCTTGAATGCCTCCAGTGCCGGGAGGCTCACTCTCTGACGATGCTCAGCCTGCTCTAGTTTGGAGAGTTCAGCTTGTTCTCCCTTATGCTTAGGGGCCCCTTCAGAGCAGATGTTTTTAACTTTTTTTCAGTGGTGACCTCTGTGAGGATCAGATGACAGCTCTGAGTTCTTCAGAAAAACACAAAACCCCACGTAACCTCAAAAACTGCATACATATTCGGTGGGGGGGCGGTGGTTATAGGCTCAGCTTTACTGAGCTCTAACTCACATGCCATAGAATTCACCCTCTGAGAGTGTACAGTTCAATGGTTTTTAGTCATTTCATGGAGCTGCGCCGTCACGACACATTTTATGGATCGCCACGATCCATTTTAAAGTGTTTTCATCTCCCAGAAAGCAGCTCTGTTCCCTTTCGCGGTCACCCCCACTTCCCCTGGGCCCCCAGGTCTGATCACTCACCCATCTGCTCTCCGTCCCCCTGGAGCTGCCTATTCCAGATGTTTCATGCAAACGGAGTCGTACGCTGTGTGGTCCTTCGTGTGTGGCTCCTTTCACTCTGGTCCGCCCGTGTTGTAGTCTCTGCCAGACTTCGTTCCTTTTTCTCAGGTCTGTTTCTATGCTGCGGTTCAGGGCCCTGCCCTGAAATCACTGAGAATCCCTCTTCACAGCCCCTTTTCTGCGTGTCCCTTCACGTATTTGGGTATTGCAAGTCTTCGAAGCTCGTGAGTCCTTTAGGGGCGCTTCAGGTCACCGCGTTTCCATCTTCCTCCTCTCTCCTCACGCCCCCATCCGTCACTCAGACCCAGGGGCGCAGAAGGAGCCCAACAGCAGGACCGCCTTCGTCAGCCCAGCCCACAAGTTCACAGTGTGGCGACCTTGGCCGTGAACACCCGTGGTGGCCTTTAGACCCCAGTGTTTCCAGTATCACAATTTCAACCTTTCCCTAAGCATCTCCTTTCTTCCCCCCTCCCCACCCGAAGTGGGGGACAATTTAAGAGTCTCAGACTGGGGGACAGAGGTTCTCTGGAAGGGAACGTATAGGCAATCTGATCTGACCCCTCCTTGCACAGGAGGGAAAATTAGAAGTCCCCAAAGGGCACGTGACTTGTCCAAGGCCTTTCCAGGCCCTCCCTTTCACCAGAAGCCTCAAGGGCCGGACAGCATCAACCCATTCCACACCTGAGGATTGGGACAGTGCTCCAGGTACAGCCCTGGAGCCACCCTACCTGTCCGGAGGAGACACCTTGGCATCACTTCCCGATGTCACACTAGGAGGAAGCACCTCCCGGTGGCCCTTTTCTGTGGGCTCCCTGGGACAGGGGAGTGGCCCTGGTTGGTGAGGGCACTAAACCAAGCTCCCCCACCCCCGTCTTCCGAGACAGTCCCGGGAGAAAATGGAGAGTCCTGTAGGGCTGATTTCTGTGTGTCCCCGGATGCCCACTTCAGAGAACATCAGCCCTCAGCCCAGCGCTGTGCCTGCACCAGGCCGTGCTCGATAAAGCCCGGCAGGCGCGCAGGGCACCGGGGTGTGAATCCTGGGATCTGTTCTCTTCGCCCTGCAAGAGCCTTTGCTCTTCCTGGGAAGACTGGCTCTATGCTGAGTGGGTTGCTGTGGTGGGGTCTGTAGCACAAGCATCTACTAAAAGCTTTCCTCTTTTTATTCCTTCGTCCGCCCCTCCCAGGGGGCCTCTAAACTGGTACCGAAACATGGAAAGGAACTGGCAGTGGGGCCGCAAAGGCTTGGGAAGGAAGGTGAGTTCAGCGCTGTTCTCCTCCCCAACGAGTCACCCTTCGGGCATCCATGGACCCAACGGATAGGCCGCTGGGTCAGCGCCAGGGGTGGACAGACCGGCTGGCTGCTTTTGGAGGTGCCTGCACTGCAGGGTTTCCTCTTAGGACCTCTTTTGCTGCTGCTTCTCCTGGAACGGCAGAGGGTGGGGAGACGGTGGGGACAGGGGTCTGCCAGGTGACTGCAGCAGCGGTCTGGACCACCTAGGTCTCCCGGCGGTGCCCTGGCTCAGGGCGCAGGTGGTCCAGTTAACTCCCAGAGGTAACAAGGATGAAGCTCCTGGCTCACAGAGGAACGTTACGTGCTGTCAGAGAGACGGGGCTGTAACCTCTGGCTCCTGCACCTCGACCGAGTCAGTCCGAGCCTCAGTTTCCTTGTTTGTCAAGCAGAAGACAGGTTTCCAACCCCTGGGTCTGCAAAGGGAGTCATGGGGTCCCTGGTTTACATTCAGAACATTAAAAACCTAAGGGAAATTGCATTTTCCCATTCCTCAGCTCACTCGGTAGCCCTGGCCATCTTCTTGGTTCAGTCAAAAATGAACGGCCCTCTATATGCCAGGAATGGTGCAGATGACACAGGCGAGGTCCTGACCTCACAGGGTTAGGTCTTGAGGCAGTAGAGCATAAAAACAGTGGTTCAGAGCAGGCTGGGCAGAGAGTCGGCCTGGGATGTGGGACCTGTGCCCTGTGTGACCTTGGGCAAGGCACTTAACCACTCTGTTCTCCGTGGCCGCTAATATGGAAGTGACAAGAATGGTGCCTACCTCAGGCAGGAGCTGTGTAAGGATAAAGTGGGTTGACGCACATCAAATGCTGAGTTAGAACAGTGCCTAGTACGTAGTAGTGGTTTAATTAATGCTCTTTAGCCTATCATCACTCTAATCTGTGATGGACAAAAATGACAAAACTGCAGTTTGACTGGCAGAGACTCTCTCAAAGCATGAGGGACGAGGATGAGGTCTTCGGGGAGGTGAACCCCGATGGCAGTAGGTTTGGGGACCCCCTCTTCTGCAGTTTCCTTCCAGATCTTCCTCCTCTCCCACCTCCTCCCATTGCCTCTGCCACCGCTTTACGTTTTCACCGGGAACATTCTAGAGTGTCCATCCCACCCCCACAGCAGCCTCAGGATTCATTTCAGCCACAAAACCACCACTGGGTCTTCACCCCTTGGTGAACGGGGCGCAGTGAGAAGCGCACAGTTCTGTGTTGTAGGTAAAAAACGGTGCGCATTCCTTACCCAGGGACAGTGAACGCCATTTGGAAATTGTCATGGTAGCTTGAGAACACAGAGTAAAAGGAGGTTCTCTCGACCTTGGGTGCCCCATGCATCAGTAGACAAAAAGTGAAGTCCCTTTGCTGCCTGTAATGTCACACTGGCCCCAGCGTGGCTGGCTGAGTCACACTCTGGCTGCCCTGGTGAAGCGTCCGTTCAATTCATAGAAAAGGAATATTGATGTCCATCTAAGGGCATCTTTCCTCCTTCCCAGTGCCATCTGTTTGGTGTCAGGAATATCAGTCACACAGAGTGGACCACACGTGTGTTCTTACTTATACACACACACACACACACACACACACACACACACATACAACCTGTGTGGTCAATACGTGGCTGAATCCATCTGTATGAGAAAAACCCATTTTTTTTCCTCCTGTGTGTCTCCTTTACTTTCACACAAATCGCTTTCTTTCTGACACTTCTTATCACCAAATGTGTGGAGGTTTTTCCACACACCACCAAGCAGTTCTCTGCAACACCAGCTGGGTGGCCTGCAATTTAACTCAGTTCTGGCACCATCTACCTGGAGACGGCGTCAGAGCCCACAGGTTAAGGGCTCAGTCCCACAAGACTGCTCCCCACTTCAGACGCCAACCCCAAGTCCAGGTTGTTACCTGTGCTTCCAACTGATTGGCTATAAATTGGAGGCTCCCAGGACCTCCTCCTTGGGTCTATTAATTTTCTAGAGTGGCTCACAGAACTCTGGGAAACACTCACTTAACGTTTACTAGTTTATTAAAGGATTTGATAAAGGACACAGATGAACCGCCAGACGAAGGAATCCACAGGGTGAGGTCTGGGAGGGTCCCAAGCCCAGGAGCCTCTGACCTTGTGGAGCTGAGGTGTGTTATCCTTTTGGTGTGGATTTCACCAACCTAGAAGCTCTCCAAACTCCTTGCTACTGGGATTATGTGGATGTTTATGGAGACTTCCTCACGTAGATGCGATCAATTATTAACTCCATTTCATCCCTTTCGCCTTCCAGACATGGGGGAGAAGGAGGGAGCTGAAAATCCCAAGTGTCTAATCATGGCTTTGTCTTCCTGGTGACCAGCCCCCACCCAGGAGCCCAGCCAGAGTCACCTCATTGGAACAGAAGTGCTCTCGTCACTTAGGAATTTACAAGGGTTTCAGGGGCTCTATGCCGGGAACCAGGGGCAGAGAGCAAGACACACATTTTCTAATCTCGTACACCATCCTTTCAGATCTTTAGTAATACTGGTGCCTCCTTCACGCAAAGCACGTGGCGGAAACAAAGCCAGACCAAAGTGGTGCTGAGGGGTCTTCTGTGGGGGAGTTAATAGTGGAGGAGGCCCCGCGGTGTGAAAATAACATCTCGTCGCCCGGGTGAGGGAGGGCCTGAGCGTGGAGGCTGCTTCTCCTTCCCGTTATCCCTCCCCAGATCCTGGTGCCGGCCCTGATGGTCACCGCGGAGAAGGACTTCGTGCTCGTTCCTGAGATGTCCAAGCATATGGAGGACTGGGTAAGGCAATGGTCCTGCTCGGGGCCATCGGGGCTTCTTGGAGGAGGGCGCAGGCATCCCAGAGGATGGAGAGTGGGATGTTCGGGGGAACTGCTCGCTTGATGAGGGCTTCCTCAGCAGCATCACTGTCGCCTTTTGGGAGCAGCGATTAAGACTGCTCCTCGGGGGCTTCTCTGGTGGCGCAGTGGTTGAGAGTCTGCCTGCCGATGCAGGGGACGTGGGTTCGTGCCCCGGTCCGGGAAGATCCCACATGCCGCGGAGCGGCTGGGCCCGTGAGCCATGGCCGCTGAGCCTGCACGTCCAGAGCCTGTGCTCCGCAACGAGAGAGGCCACAGCAGTGAGAGGTCTGCGTATCGCAAAAAAAAAAAAAAAAAAGACTGCTCCTTCCTGGACTTCCCTGGTGGTCCAGTGGTTAAGACTCCACACTTCAGGGAACTAAGATCCCACATGCCACGCGGTGTGGCCAAAAGAAAACAAAAAAAGACTGCTGCTTCCTTTCCCTTCACTGATGCAATCTCTCATCACTCACTCATTCTTTCATTTCATGGGCTTTTCCTGTGCACCTAGATGAGTTGGGACAGTGCTAGATACCAGGGCGGTAAAGATGAATGAGGTGCAGACCCCACCCCACAGGAGGTCATGTCCAGCAGTGTACCCCATATGCAGGAGGCTTGTGTGGACAAGGGCCCAGCTGGGAGCGAGGGCTTCACAAGGTGCTCTGGCCTTGAGGAACTCCTAAGCCTCGCCCGGCAGAGAGAGAACGGGAGAGGAGACAGGGTGTTGAGAGGTGAGGATGGATGAGAGAGGTCAGAGGGTGCGGCTGGGAGGTTATCCTGAGCCCACTGGGCCAGGCTGAGCTGTGTGGACCTATGGGTGACGGGACCGTTGAAGTGGAGAGATGGGTATCAAGCCTGTGTTTTGGAAGCACACACTGCTGAAAGCGTGGAGCTTGGTAGGGATTGGGAGACCTGCAGGTGGGGTCCCCGTGACTGCTCGTGTATCCTGGCTGGATGCTGAGAGCGTTTGCCTGCACTTGGCAGTGTCTTTGTTAGCATCATCCAGTGCGGTGGAGAGAGCGTGATTCAAGGCATGTTGCCAAGGACGCCCTTTGTGGGTGGTGGAGCCAGTCCAGGGAGGGCTGTGACCCACTTTGGGGATTCAGGCGCCAAAAGGGAGACTGAACAGCCCTGCGTGCAGACCACCAGGGAGGAGGGAGGCGACATGGGAAGGGGACGCAATCACGGCTACAGGGCAAGAGCCAAGCTCGACCCGGCATTTTCCAGGCAGTGAACGGGCCAAGTCCTAATGGTTCTGGAGGGAGACAGTCTGTTGTGATGAGTATGGGTCAGCCTGAATTTGAATCTTAGCTCAGCCACTCTCTGTGTGGCCTTGGGCCAGTTACCTAACCTCTCTGAGCCTTCATATTACCCAGAGGATCATGGTCAAAGATAAATAAGGCAGGGCTTCCCTGGTGGATCAGTGGTTAAGAATCCACCTGCCAATGCAGGGGACATGGGTTCGAGCCCTGGTCCAGGAAGACTCCACATGCTGCAGAGCAACTAAGCCTGTGCGCCACAACTACTGAGCCTGCGCTCTAGAGCCCGCGTGCCAGAACGACTGAAGCCCACGTGCCTAGAGCCCATGCTCCGCAACAAGAGAAGCCACCACAATGAGAAGCCCGCGCACCGCAACGAAGAGTAGTCCCTGCTCGCCACAACTAGAGAAAGCCCGCACACAGCAACGAAGACCCAATGCAGCCTAAAATAAATAAATGTATATAATAAAAAGATAAATAAGGCAGTGCATGTGGAGCACCTAGCACATAGTAGGAGCTTGATCAGTGGTCATTCCCTTTCTAAATCACGTGGGGTTTTCAGGGGGGCGGCCCACCGGGAGCAGAGAACTTGCCTTCTGCCATTTACTTTTCCGGGTGGGGTTTTCTTCCAGATCCCCCACCTGAAAAGGGGTCACATTAAGGACTGTGGACACTGGACACAGATGGAGAAGTAAGGAGATGGCGGTCCCTGGGTGGGGGGCGTCAGGGCTCCCTGTTCGCCTCCAATAAGCCGCTTGCTTTACCACCTCTGCCTTCGCCTGAGTGAGGGAGTGCGTCCAGACAGATGCGAATTGCCTTCTGTTCCCGTTCCAGGCCCACAGAGTTGAATCAGATCCTCATTGAGTGGCTGGAGACCGACGCCAGCG